TACTCCCCAGAAACATCATCATGTGACTTCTTGTTCAGTCATATGAAGACCACCCTACACATAGAGCGCGAGTAAATTACTACGCTGGCTGCATTTGAAGAGACTATCTGGCTATTTCTCAACTTCTTTCTCATGGTTTACTTTTTGGAAGAACCTACTGACTTATTTAAGATATTAATGTATCTTATATGGGTGGCAAACCATATGACATACTCTTAATTGAAGAAATATGACAATAATATAGGAAAGTATGCCTACATAATGAATAAAATACGATGTAAAGTTGATAATTCAGAAAGTTACCGCGAAGTTTCCACTTAAGAATCTCAATATCCTCATATTATCACGTTAACTGAAGTATTATGAGAGTAGTATATACATTCCTAACATATTTTGCATCATTGATGTTATTTTGAAGAATTTTACCATTATTTTTCCTGAGGAAATCCCGAGATCAAATTTTTGGATGAGAGGACTACGCGTGTCAATATCAACCTCTTGGGATTAACACTACAACTTGAAAGATGCGATAGACTGCTCGATCAGATATCGACCACTGATCCAGTGCTCATGTGTATCAAAAGCACATAGATTGTGGAATAACTCACTATAATATCAAATTGTTATAAAATTTCGAACTTTTATACAAGGGTAGACCTGGGAGGGTAGCATTTGATCTTGAGCAGTGTTTGATATGTCGTGCAATTTTTACCAATAAATATTTGGTTGCAATGTAGGCCTATCCAAAGAAAGTTACTTATGTGCATAAAATATATACAAGTGTCGAACTCTGTAAACAATTTTTGCACAGGTAATTAACATTTTAAACAAAAATGACCTTTTTTCAAGTGTAACTCTTTACTTTGGCCATGACCTTGGACCTTCAGATGACAGTGATGCTATATACACCTAAACGGATTATTTTGCTGTACTATACGTTTAATTTCAGTTGAAATAGATTTAAATTATAGAGGTTGCCATCTGGTTCTGCAGTTCATGCAAAGGTCATGAACTTTTAATTATGTCTAGATCATCTAATCACTTCAGCTACTGCAGCCAAGCACTAAACATGTACTATTTTTAGCTAATGCTCTCTGTATTAATTAAGACAAAGTATAACAGAGAAAAATATAAAAATAATAGTAAAAACCATGGAGGAGTTTCAAGCCAGTAACAAACTTACATCTGAAACTATGAGGACACTTGAAGCGAATGGATTTGACTCTATTGAGGCACTCGTTACACTGCAAGTGCCTCAAGATTTACAGGCAATGAAACTAAAGCCTTTAGGGCAATTCCGCCTCCTAGAAAAGGGACTTAAAGCTCTTAAAGGAGACATAGAGGGCCCTGGGATATCACCAGACGGTGCCCCTCGGGGGGAGGAGTACCAAGCTACCCATAAGGAGAATGAGGCTGGTCTGTCAGCTGACCAAATGCTGAAACAACTTGGGATAAGTCCCCAGGCCAGTGGAGTGGAACCAAAAAGGAAAGGTGAGCACCTTAAAATTGTGGATTTTATCTCGAGTGCTCTGTCTATCAAGGAGGATTACTCAGAGGAAGTGATGGCTATAGCGGGGAGCTCTAGCCTGATTCTCAAGTCCTCTGCTAAACGCCCCACCCTCACCAGTGTCACCATACCACAATGGAACCAGGCAAGTTTGGCGATATTGTTACATATGCAAGAGCATTCTCCCCAAGTAGATGTACATTCCTATCTCCAACACCATATAAAGATAATGGAATTTTGTGAAAAGTTTGATTGGATAAGTATTTTAATATATGATGAGGAATACAGGAGGCGCCAGTATATACAAGGCTTCCAATGGGGTAGCGAAATAGCCCACCTCAGCACAACTCACCTGAGGCTAAAACCACCAAATATGAAATCAACTCAAGCAAGGAATAAACAGACTGCAAAACAGCCGGATGTACAAATATGCAGGAATTTTAACAAAGGAGAATGCAAGTATGGAACTACTTGCAGGTACCGTCACGTTTGTCTAGAGGCAGGTTGTACTGAGTCTCATTCTGCCTTAACCCATCAAAAAAACTAACAGTCGCTGCAGTAGCACCTATAGCCCCTTCACCTCTAGGAAATTGTTTGGATAAATGGACTTATGAATTAGCTAATGACCCAGATAAGGACTTTCTTCTAAATGGAATTTCAAGTGGTTTTAAAATCATTGACTCAAATAGCAATCCTGTTCAAGTAGAGACTAATAACTATAGATCAGCACTTGATTTTCCGGCTCATTTTAAAGTGGAATCTCAGATTGTTAAGGAACTTCAAGAGCAAAGATATGAAAAAGTATCCCATAAACCAATAATAACTAGTGCACTGGGGGCAATACCAAAAAAGAACTCTGACAAGATTAGGCTGATTCATGATTGTTCTATGCCGCATGGAAATGGATTAAATGACTACGCTACAAAAAACAGTTTTAAGTATCAATCTCTATCGGAAGTTACTGCTTTAGTTAAGCATGGATACTTTTTATGTAAGGTGGACCTATCAGAAGCGTATAGATCAGTGCCGATATCTCCCAGTGATTATCTGTATACTGGCCTTAAGTGGAAATTTCGAGGTGACAATTCATATACATATATGATAGACAAGAGACTCATGTTTGGAGCACGGAAAGCTCCAGAAATATTCCACAGACTTACGCAATCTGTTAAGCGTATGATGATCAACAGAGGATTTCAAAACATTGTTGTTTATCTCGACGATTTCTGCCTAGTTTACCCTACATATAAGGAGTGTCAAGAAGCAAGGGACACATTGATTGGATTGATCAGGTCCCTTGGTCTGAGCATAAACTGGTCAAAAGTGGAAGGACCTACACATGTTCTAACTTTCTTAGGCATAAACATTGATACTATAAAAATGCAACTGACATTGCCAGAGGAAAATCTAAATAGCTTGAAAGCATTACTCATCGAATTTTCAAGCAAAAAACGCGCCGCTAGATCCCAGCTTGAATCATTGGCTGGTAAACTTCATTGGGCAACCCAGGTCGTCAAAGGGGGTAGGCATTTCCTCCAACGGATCCTGGATACCATACGATCACTCAAACGCAGCAAACACAAATACATGCTAGGGACTCAATTCTATAAGGACATAGACTGGTGGATTAAGTACATAGACACATTCCATGGAAAATCTTTAATAATGGACAACAATCCAGTTGTGACTGTCGAGCTGGATGCTTGCAATACTGGAGCAGGCTTATACTATGATGGAGATTGGGCATATATGAATTTCCATCGTGATACCCCTTCTCTTAAGGATTACCATATCAATTATAAGGAGATACTCTCTGCATACTTCTCTGTATTGAGATGGGGGCACACATGGTCAAATAAGAAGGTTCAACTTGCAACCGATTCTTCTGTTGCAATGGCAGTGATCAACTATGGGAGGTCTCGACATCCTGTTATTATGGATATACTAAGACATATGTTCTGGATATCAGTGACTTACAACTTTGATCTAAGAGCACACCATGTCAAGGGACTAAATAATGTGATGGCAGATACAATCTCCAGACTTCATGAACCCCATGCCCTCCTATCCTTGGAAGCCTTGTTATACCCTGGCCGCTTCCCTTATTCAGGAATGTCTGTTATGGACTTAATACCACACATGAGTTTTAATTCTCTGTTTTCCATTCTGCCGCAGGTCCGCAACTGGCTGAGCTGGAAGAAGAATTGGATAACACAATCGCTACGCTACGCATGAATTGCTACACCCCCTCTACCAGATCAACATATGCAGCCCAGCTCCAAAAATATCTTGTTTTTTGTAACAATATGGGTTACAACCCAGTACCAGTTAATCAATTACACCTGGAACGCTATGTTGCTTCATTAGCTGGGGGGTCATACATGTACGGTATAGGGTTTGCCACTTGTGTGCATAACAAAATATGAATGGATATTGCATTTGTCTCTTAGTGCCACAACTGTTGACGATGGAAGGATGGACGGACAAACGGATGTCACTTAATAATCTGCTGCTTCTTTCCAGCTGGACGGACGGACTGATGGAGAATTCAATACGTTCACACAGCTAAAAATGATGTAAACTGACATGCTTTATTTCCCAAACTTTTCCAGGGGGACTCTAACACTTAAATTAAAGTTCCTAAAAATCCTCAAATACTGAGTAAGTTTGCAATAATCATTGGTCAAAGGGACTTCTATCAAGTCCCTACATATGGGCCTGGCAATAGCTGGAGGACCAGTTAATGAAAGCTCTGGCATAGTACTGTATCCCCACTGAAGACACAAATCCATATATTGTTTCTCAACCAGTATGTAGGTACTAGGTAGAGTTGAGGAGGTCCTTGGTGAGGTCCAGTATGACTGTACATGGAAGTAAAGCTCATAGCTGTGTATTCAACATTTCATTGGGGTTGAATTTTGAATTTTTGAACATTTCATTTTATTACTATTAATTACACTTATTGTCATATATTCATCGCTATCAATAATTATTCTTTTATTTGCGTTTGTCACTGCACTTGGTATAATTCTGGAGAAATTTCTTGTTGTTTTCTTATATTCCCAGCCTTTCAGTAGGTGATGTAGGTTCGAACCTAAAGCGAACCTAAAAGTGAATCCCACAATTTGCTGACTACCTAAACGAACCTACAAAAAGTAGGTTCGCTTTAGGTTCGAACCTAATCTACCTAAAACACTTTAAAACTTGTAGGTAGTTTTAGGTTCGAACCCAAAGCGAACCTAAAAAACATAGTCATTCTTCAAGAGTTACCTAAAGCGAACCTAAAAATCTTAAATCTACCTAAAACACTTCAAACTTGTAGGTAGTTTTAGGTTCGAACCCAAAGCTACCTAAAGCTACCTAAAGCAAACCTACAAAACAGAAGTTCTGTCACAGCCACTAGGGGCGCTGATAGCAGGAAGTATCAATGCATTGTGGGTATAATATTCAAACTAAAATCAGTTAGACAGGAAATTTGGAAATAGCCAGGAAAATGGGGAAATATGCTGAAATGACCATCACATCAGTGCTCATTTACAAAGTACATGTAAGTAAGTGTACAAATGATCAATCAATATATTATTTTAACCTCTTGAATACCCAGAATGACGGATATATCTGTCACAGAATTTTTCACTAAAACTGCTCTAACTTTGGCAATTTTTATCCAATCTTCACAAATGATGTTTTAAAATGAATGTAATGGGTCTATGTTTACTATTCTTATGAAATCAAACATCAACTGTTGTGTTTTTAGATGTAAATATAAAAAAAACTGGCAAAAAATAAACAATACTCTGGTTTCAAACCCTTTTTAGAGGCTGGTATTCAAGAGGTTAAGTGTTATAAAAGCATGCAATTATAAAATAGGATGAATTTTAAATAAATGTACCTGAGTGAGAAACTAATTAGCATCAAAATGTGTGAGAAATAAATAAACAGTTGACATATAGCCTATACAGTTCACAAGTTTGTAGGGTCCAGACCCCGGGCTACCTCCATAGGCCAGCTTAGGACCATCATTGTAAATAAATGTACTTGCGTGAGAATATATGCATCAAAATGTGTGAGAAATATATAAACAGTTCAAATCAACAAATCAAGTCACCCAGTTGCTGGGTGGTCTAAAGCCAACCCAGCCCTTGGAAGTATTTACCTAATGCGAACCTACGTAGGTTCGCTTTAGGTAGTTTTAGGTTCACTTTAGGCGATGTTCAAATATGCTAATTAGATTCAGGTTCGCTTTAGGTGACCACCTAAAGTGAACCTATAATTACCTAGAGCGAACCTATAATTACCTAAAGCGAACCTACCTAGGTTCGCTTTAGGTAGTTTTAGGTAGGTATAGGTAGGTATAGGTTCGCTTCAGGTGGCCACCTAAAGTGAACCTATAATTACCTAAAGCGAACCTACCTAGGTTCACTTTAGGTAGTTATAGGTAGTTTTAGGTAGTTATAGGTTCGCTTTAGGTGATCACCTAAAGTAAACCTAGACCTAATTAGCATATTTGAACATCGCCTAAAGCGAACCTACCAATGGAGTTTTTATATGGGGAACTACCTAAAGCGAACCTAGAAATCCTAGTTAAATATATCACCTAAAGCGAACCTACTGAAAGGCTGGGTTGTTATTGATCCTTTTCGGTTCATTATACATTTATTTCAATCATATTGCAGTCAAAAGAGTTACACAGGTCGCTGCCTAGCGCAATGTGCATTACAGGCTAGCGTTTTGAAATGAATATAAATTAAATTAATTTAATTAATTGAGTGAGTTATACATATAAATGTGCTAACTAGTAGCCTACACCTAATGGTGAAAAGTAAATCAAAATAAAATAGGTTAGGTTAAGCTTAGAATAAAATCAACGAACCTTCCTTTTAGTTGAGAATCTTGTTGAATTGAGAATGAATTTTTGAAAATTAAAAATTCAATTTTGTCTTGTCCACTGAGATGGGTCACAAGGTTTTGCTGCTCAAGGGTTTCTTCAAGGTTTTTCCTTTGTGTTGAATGGCGCTTACATTGCAGAATCAGGTGTTTAGGGGTTGCACTCTTACCACAGACACATAGATTAGTTGTGTTGGGAAAATTATGAGCAAACTTTTGAGATTCAAAATAGAGTCCGCATCTAATTCTGTTTAAGGTAATTTCTTGTTTTCGAGAAAGATTGAGTTTAGAAGTTGTATTGAAGTCATTAAACTTTGAAGATTTCTTTTTGATTTTGCTTTTGAACAAAGAGATGGTGGGAGTAGACCTCTCTTCTAGTGATAACTTATTCCATTCAGAGATCAATCCTGCTAATTTTTCTGAGCTTTAATTCATCATCTGGCCTGGGTGTATTTCAAGTAGGTGATGAATCATATCTGTAAATTTCTTACGTCTCCTGTTTGTGTTGCAATAGTAACATTCGAATCCTAGTCTGAAATAAAATGAAAACATTTTAGTATGCATTAGAATCATAAAATACTCGCCCGCCGTAGTCCTCTCCTAAATCTCCGGCAGAGTTCTACTTAGGACTCCTACTTTAACAAATTCGGGCTATTATAGGATCTAATTACATGCATAGATGGTGGATGGGGTCATCATCGTTCAGTTGTCAGCTTACCTGGATAATTGGTAGCTTAGCAGTTGATCGAGAGGAAGAAATAAATGGAAATAATTTGGCGTTTTTTTGGAATTTGTTTTTATCTCAGCAGCACATGCATATGCCAATTGGTCGGCGTTTTATAGTAAGCTGTCAAACATAGGTACTTTGAATATCATTCTTTTAAGAAATTCAATAATCGCTGGTATACAGCTTGAAAAACAATCAAAATGTTGGAAAGAAAACTTACCTCTCTTCAGCCATGTTTGAAATAGCCAGATAGTCTCTTCAAATGCAGCCAGCGTAGTAATATTGCACGCGCTCTAAGTGTAGGATGAAGACGGGATTGAGGGGCATGCGCTTTGAAACCAAGAAGGAACTTGCCGCAGCCGTGAGGAAGCGATTGGCTGTTTTATCAGCAGGGGAATTTCAGGCTGTCTTCAGAGACTGGGTCCACAGACGTCAACAATGTTTGGCAGCTGGGGGCAATTATTTTGAATACTTTGAGAACAATAGAAAATTGATAACAGGAATTTGAGAACAATGTTTTAATATGCAGAAAATTGTTAATATGAGACTAAACAGGGTGTTGGAAAATTGATATCATTTATTCTGTTTATTGCGTAATAATAAATTTGCATGGAACCATGAGGTCGCATCTTATGTTGCTATGACAACCATATTTTCTTTAAAAATGAAGATCCAGTCTCCAAATTTTACAGGTATGTCCAAAAATGTATGATATCTGTATGTGCCAAATATGATGACATAGCTCAATATAGTTATTGCGATAGAGTCAAAATTGCAAAACTTTTTGATGCACCCAAGTAGTTTAACTAGACTCTGCACGCAGGGTATCATTTTGACCAATAAAAATCATAACTGCCTGGAAAGTAATATGAATAAAGTATGTAAATAAATGAATTAAAACGTTAAATTAAGAAGCAAAAGTCTTTTCTGGGTCACTGCGAATGGCATGATTTCCTCGAGTCTCTTCAGTTGCAAGGCAACCATACTGGGACCGATTCGCGTCGTTCCACTACTGCCCTTGGTGGGGGCCCGCTACCATACTATATGACTCCCGGAGTTTACTAAAGCACGTTAGTGGAGGAACCAACCACAGTCTCACAATCTGTCTCCGGCAAGAGCGGCCAGAGAACCAACCCATGCCAAGGGCCGGTAATCGGTTGGACCTTCGGACCGGGTGTCCGTAGCGACAATGATCAACAACTCCGTACCTGGGGCTCGAACGCGGGACCTCCGTATCCCACGACGTTCAACCGCAAAGTAGCCTCAGTCTACGCCACTAGGCTACCCTGCTTAGGTGTCAAAACTGCTAAAAAATAATGTAGTTGTTACAATTATTTGCTTGGATAAACATGATATTACATTTCTTAATTGATTAATTTGATTTAGTTGGAATCGAAGTTCGACCAACGATCAAGGCAATGCAATCAACAATTCTTGCAAATGTGAACGGGAGTCGTAAAGACAAAAAGTACAAGAATCGTGATCAATGTAAAGTATAATATTTAAGACACATCTTTCAATATCGGGTAGGAGAAACATTCCAAAATGAAGAAGAATCATTTAGAACATTTGATTTGTTGCCAATATATCAATTGCGTCTAAAATGAATGAAATAAAAGGTATCGCGGGCCACTAAAGCCGATGAGTGAAAACAATTATAATTGAGGCATCTAGATCACTCACTATAACAGTAAGTGAATAGGTTTGTGTAGATAAGTCGAGGAAAATAAGCTATTTCGACGCTTGTATTAATCTGATTACGCTTATTAATAATTACGCGTGGCTACTAAACACAAGTGTTGTGTAGAACAAAAACAAGAAAACTGAACGACCTATTAAGGAACTGTACTTCAGGTTCAAAGTGTTCAAGATATTTCCGCATGTTCAAAAACACTAAAGGAGGAGGGAAGTTAGCGCAACAGATTTTGGACAATCATATGTTGGATTTCGGCCATTTCCTGGGGATTTTAACAGGTGCATATGTTAGGCGAATGTTTTACCTCCGGGAAAATCACTTCTAGAGATGATAGAATAATTTTGACTTTGAGACAGGGTAGATGCAAACAACCCACCCACATGTTTTTTCTGAAATGTTTTCCTGATTTTCATCCCCTTCCATCCTTTCTTTTTTAATTTTTCTTGCATCAATATGTTGCGTTTTGACACACAGTTGATCCCTTAAAAGGAATAAATGATTCCATTTAGATAAAGTGGAAAACAATATTTCCCATGTTATTTTCCCATAGGAAAAATCATTGCTTTCAGCTAAGTTTGGTCACCCATAATGGGTATCTTTAAAACCCCTGAAGGAATCACTTATTCCTTTAAAGTGGTTAACTATGTGTCAAAATGCAACATATTGATGCAAGAAAAAAATTAAAAAAGCAGGGATGGAAGGGGTCGAAAAATAAGAAAACATTTCAGAAAAATCATGTGGGTGGGTTGTTTGCATCTAACCTGTCTCAAAGTCGAAATTATTTTATCATCTCTAGAAGTGATTTTCCTGGAGGTAATGCATTGGCCTAACATATGCAATTGTTTAAATCCTCAGAAAATGGCCAAAATCCAACATATGACTGTACAAAATCTGTTGCGCTAATTTCCCTCCTCCTCTATATTTTAGGCTATCCATATTTTGTCAGATATCTCCAATTCAGTTTACAGGGAAAACATAATCATGTTTCCGAAAAGAATTTACACTCGCTACTCAAAATGAGGCACGGACACAAGTACAGAGAATAGCCTAGTGAAGGCATCTATCTAATAGTGGCTTTTCCATATAGTTTTGAAATCTCGTTAAGGTCTCGTTTTAATGAGATTTTAGGAGATCTGCCACTAAAGACTAACATTTTCTTCTATTTGAATTCTGTGTGTAATTTTCTTTCAGAACAACTTAGTTTTTGCACTGTTATTTACTTTTATTCAAATTCGAAAAATAAGAAAACATTTCAGAAAAATCATGTGGGTGGGTTGTTTGCATCTAACCTGTCTCAAAGTCGAAATTATTTTATCATCTCTAGAAGTGATTTTCCTGGAGGTAATGCATTGGCCTAACATATGCAATTGTTTAAATCCTCAGAAAATGGCCAAAATCCAACATATGACTGTACAAAATCTGTTGCGCTAATTTCCCTCCTCCTCTATATTTTAGGCTATCCATATTTTGTCAGATATCTCCAATTCAGTTTACAGGGAAAACATAATCATGTTTCCGAAAAGAATTTACACTCGCTACTCAAAATGAGGCACGGACACAAGTACAGAGAATAGCCTAGTGAAGGCATCTATCTAATAGTGGCTTTTCCATATAGTTTTGAAATCTCGTTAAGGTCTCGTTTTAATGAGATTTTAGGAGATCTGCCACTAAAGACTAACATTTTCTTCTATTTGAATTCTGTGTGTAATTTTCTTTCAGAACAACTTAGTTTTTGCACTGTTATTTACTTTTATTCAAATTCTTGAGATGTTCAAGTTTTCTAAAAATGGTCGGGCTAAATCCCCATTGACAAAGTAACATACATTGGTAATATAACAGCCTTTCGTCAATGTAACAAAAGCGATGGGCTTGTACAGCTTCATTTACAAAACAAATTCCAAATCGAAGAAACTTATTAAAACTAGGCTATATTTTCTAGCTTTGGGCTAAATTATAATCTGTAACTTGACTATTTAGTAGGTTTAAATCGAGAAAGCAAAAAATTATAACCAGGAAGTTCATCCATTTTGTTACATTGACGTTCCGTCAAAGTAACTAGTTGTGGAACAGTGATTATGGCATTCGGTATAACGGCTTTCGGTACAATGCGCGTGGTTGATAATGGGGTTCGGTATAATGCGCGTTGGTATAATGGGTTTCGGTATAATGTCCGAACCCCATTTGGACGTTTTAATCTCCTAATCCATAAAATGTATCTATACCAATGCAGATAATTTTGATATTTAGATTGGCGGGTTCAGATGTCATGACCTTGCAGAGGAGCATTGTATTCTTTCTCAACTTGGCTCTGGTCCGACCTCATTTAAGTCTGTCAATGGCTTCTATACTGCTCAGGACTACAGGTGACTCTAATCCTTTCAAAAATATTATAGAATATGCAAAATTTGACCGAGGGATACTTAAACATATTGTTTCAGAAATTCACTTTAGGTATTCCTGACCCATTGTAGAGAAATTCTGCAGTATGCAACAGACAGGCATATAGAGATCCTTCCAGAGATTGATGTTCCTGGCCACTGTCATGCTGCTATCATAGCCATGGAACAAAGAAGAAAACGGCTTGAAGCTAATCCCATTCAAGGGAGTCCAGCAGATCAGTATCTTCTAAGTGAACCAGATGATCCTTCCAAGTATCTTTCGGTCCAATATTTTACTGATAATAGTGTAAACCCTTGCTTGAACTCAACATATGCGTTCATGGAAAAAGTCTTCACTGAGATAGTTAGGCTCCATGAAGGTATTGCTCCTCTGAAAACATTCATATTTGGCGGAGATCAGGTAGCTGAAGGTGCCTGGCTTAACTCAACCGCCTGTGAGAAGTTGATAGAGTCAGATGAAGTAACAAGCCATGATAACCTGATGGAGTACTTCGTGAAAAGAACAGCTAGTATCATGGAGGGCTATGACCTTGGTGCATGGGAGGATGGAGTACTTGGGAAGGTCAATGATACTGATGTTGCCTATGATATCACACAGCTAAAAAACAACGGAGATGTGTATGCCTATGCTTGGCAGAATATTTGGGAATGGGGTGTTGGGAACCGAGCGTACAAACTTGCCAATGCAGGTTATAAGGTATCCACAATTTATAATTACATTTGTGTAAATCGTAGTTCAATTATCCTGTAATGAAAATGTGTAACTTATTTTTGCTTATAATTAGCAATATCCGTATGGCTTTCCTGCCTTTGTCTTCTGTAGCAAAACACAAAACAATGCAAATCTGTGTTATTTAAAGTACAAATGCAAACCCAGTATAATAACATTGCGATTCTTTCACAGACAGTCATGACCCAGGCAACACACACATATTTTGACCACCCATATGAGCCCGATCCAGAAGAGCGTGGTTTGTATTGGGCTACACGTTTCATTGATACAGAGAAAACATTTGGTTTCATGCCTGATAGTCTCTATGACAACATAGATTTTGCACTGAATGGAGAGGTACTAAATAAGGAAACCGAGTGTGCAAGATCTACAGAATGGTGTCTACCACTCGAGAAGCCTGAGAATATAGTTGGTAGGTCTTCTAGAATCAGTAATACAAAATTAAAAGCAAATATTATTATTCCAACAAATGTCGCCTGTACCATGCCATATCTAGAAGAACTTTACAATGAGCTATGACACTATATGTATCAAATATTGAATAGGCTTTTGAAAGGTTTAGGATGTAAAAATCGAAATGTGACTGGTTCTGTCCATTCAGGTACAGCATATAGGCTAAACTAATAAATAACATAAATGTGACAAACTAGAGTACTTCTTTGATCTCTGGTTGCTGATAAGGTCCATTCTCATACTCTCATACCTTTCTCATAAAGTTATAACTTTCTAACTTTCTTGTCAAAAAGGCTCAGCATTTGTAATAATAGTTAGGTCAAGATAACTATGCTTCTGTCACATTTGATCTATGGTAACCGCACGGTGGTCGTAACTTCCCAAATTCGAGAGAAAAATACAGCATAAAATATAAGGATAAGCAGTATAATGTAGATTTTCTATATCGATTTTGTGAAGCTACAGCCGTACGGCCTTCGGAGAACAAATATGACTGAGGCGTTAGTGCCCCAAAGATTTCAGCAAACCTTTATTTTTATCAAAATATATCAACATATACCAACTATATCGAGTAACCATTAATTCTTAACTGAAGTATAGTGACACACCATTCTCAATAAATATAAGTGGATTATTTCATATAGAAAAATTGGTCCAGCCTTCATTTTTCATGTTCGGAGATCATATGGATATATTAGAAGTAGATACTTCATTTGTTTCAAAATCTATTTCTAGGTCATTCTCTGAAAGTCATGTGAAATATTATTATCAATATAATAGCTTCAAGTTAAAATTTGATAATAAAGGGTAACAAGGCATTAACATGCAAATTGAAACAGACGCTGACATTACCAAACGCTGCTACATCTTTCAATTAATTTATTATAATATTATGTTATTGTTAACTTTTATTGTTTTAGATTAGTCAGGTAACTATTTTAGATTAGTTAACTTAATTGACCAACAAAGAAATGCTTGTGTAATTTTGCATAATCGAAAATTCAAATATATACACTACTTAGTACTATGTTTAGAAAACGACATTTTAAACCGGGATTTTAATGTAGTAATAATCCCTCTTGTTAAAGATTAGTGAAATCTATGGTCATTTTTAGGTTTACCTTTTGGTTTATATATGGCAAAAATATAATTGATTAACAACATATCTCTAAATTATTGAAGGTATGGAAGGTGAACTATGGAGTGAAACTGTTCGTACAGGGGAGCAGTTAGACTATATGATATTCCCAAGAATCTTAGCCCTTGCAGAGAGGGCCTGGCACAAGGCAGACTGGGAATATCTTACAGAAGATTTGAAGATGTACAAAGGGAAGCGTTTGGCAAAAAAATTAAGGCTGAGAGACGATTCAAGACGTGCTGACTGGGAGAGGTTTGCACATACATTGGGTTATAAGGAGCTGGGGAGGTTAGATGCATTACAGATTAAGTACAGGGTGTCCCTTCCTGGAGCAAGGTACAATATGTTTCATATGACTTTTTGATATGACTACATTTTGACTGCTTTAAGACGTACATCACAGGTTCTCAGCTGATTCTCTCAATATGCTTTGAGATTGAAAACTACAGTTGCATTTTCACCACATTACATTACATTATAGAGTAGTTGATGGTAAATTAGAGGCAAACACAGGCTACCCAGGTGAGACAATACAATACAGTTCAGATGGAAACACATGGAATACATTCACATCTACATCTTCTCCATCTGGTACCATCTACCTTAGGACTATGTAAGTTGTTTTATTGATATAAAAATTGCTTCTTTGAGATACCAAAATGGTATATCAAAAACTTGTCTGGTTGTCTGTTATGACTCATTCGGTTCTGAGAGGTCATAAATAACCTGTTGCTGTTTTGAAAAAAAAGTATTTCAAGTTCATGTTTTAAAATAAAAATTTACTCGATCTGTAGATTTAGTCCATTGTCTAAACATTATGTTGAAGTATTACTTTGCTTTTCAGAACTCCAACTTGTAGAACAAGCAGACAGATTCAGATCCAGACTAATTAAATGAGGTTGATTAAAGGTTTTGCAATGACAGACAGCATTTTGACCAATAATCATGAATGAAAAATAACACTGAAATACAAAAATGGACACATGGCCAATTATATTATCATATGACGCAATACTGTTTAAAGTATGCAATTTTGAGGCTGAATCTTTGTTGTGGACTTTTGTTGACTTCAGGCTCACTTATTCTATAAAATAAACATAACACAAATATGTTTTCTTATAATATTTATACTGTTGTATTTTGTCTCCAATCATTAAATGAAAATTTAACAATGTCACATTACAAATGATTTTTACACATGTTTAAGCTCTTACAATCCAACAACAAATAACATTTAATTTTCTCTTCAGGAAATACATGTATGGAATAATCTCAAAAGAATACCTGAAATAAAATGTCTTCCTGGCTGTTCTATCCCAGTTTTTCCAAACAAAACAGTCTGTATAGCAAGACAGAAATTAGCTTAAGAGTAAAACTGAAGTCAGTCAGGGGCCTGCTTTCCAAAAATAATTAAAATTTGGTCAAATGCAAAAAATCTGTCTGTCCATACAAGCAGGGATATTTTGACCTTCATAACTTACGTGTAACTGATTGTATCAAATTCAAGATCTATATCACTGTGACAAATATTATACATAGATCCAATCATTTTAAAGAATAAAAGATTTTTTTGAATCAGATGAATTCTACTGATTTTTCTAGGCATGTTTTAGATCAGTTCCATTCACTGTAATTTAGAACTCTATACATTTGATGATGTGGGACATAAATCGTAGACATGTATCATCATTTGGAATAAATAAAATGAATTAGGGATTCATTCCAATACGCCATAAAGGTGTGTACAGAAAATATGCGAGACCCCAAAAACAGGTATAAGGGGGTCTAACATATAAAACCCCAACTAAACCCACACATATATCAAAGGGAAAAGGAAGCCATAAGTGATGATATCTACAAGGACTAGTTTTTGTGTATTCTTTCTAAATACAATATTAAGTCTTCAGATAAAGATAATTTATAAAATATTAGAATTTTACTTAATGTCCTGAAAATTCTTCAAATGGGTCATGCAGAAAAATTCTTTAAGAGATTATCATTTAAATAAACCACGAGATACACATTCCTCATGCCCAAGTCTATGAGATTCAAATAATGTTGTTTCAATTGGCAGTACTATTATTAATATCATTATTGCAACCAGCCCATAATAAATAGTAAATAAATATACATATCATATCAATAGAATTGTTCAATAATAGAACATGTCAATAAATAGAACTACAAAATATGTAGTCAATAAATAATATAGAATAGTACTTGTAATAAATAAACACATATTTTAGACACTGTAGCTATAATATAAGAATGTGAAAATTTAGTCATAGCAAATTAGAACCACATCTTTAAGAGTGTACATCCAGTTTGAATTATACAGTTCTACAGTAAAAACTTCTTATTTGTTACTCATAATTCACAAGTATACTTGATGTACATGCACAGTATATATAATACAATTTGCACATATTTTTGAACCTCTTTTCTACTTGCCTCAGTTAGAATAAAGGACGCCAAAGCATTGTGAAAATTATGTAAGAAAGCAAATGAGCTTTTGCCAAACTGAGATATTTTGATAACACTAATACAAAAACATATTACCAATGGATCCTTTTGGTCCAGCCAAAGGTCTCAATTAATCAAGTATTTAAATAACTACTACAAAACATGCATGCAAAAATGTCACTTCCCGCTCCAGAGAAGTATTTGCTAATATAAATGTGAATTGTAACAACCCCCTACTTTTGAATGTTGGGCATATTTTTCAACTACACAATAAATAAAATCCATGAGGTATTTATATGGAAAATAAACTGTGATTTTAGCATATTCCATCTTCCATCTGTTCCGACAGAAAAATTTCTACTGTACATAACTATCCAAATTCTGAGGATATAATAAAAAGCCCCATACCCCATTTTTCTACATGAATAATGTTTAACACTGAATTTAGTTACTCTACTTTACATTATTTACACATTTCTTCATGTGTGCTCTCCTTTGCAACGAGGTTCGGTGTTCCAGTGTTAAAATATTCGAAACTACTGCATGAAATGGCCCAATGATGATGGGTATTCATCAGCTTGTCAAAGAGTCCACAGGTTCATGTAGGCTATGTCAAAATTAAATTGTCTAAATGCCATATAGAGTGGTTACCATTATTTTCTCAAACTGGCCTCTTGGGTATCTATTATTGTGGCAATATCAAGCATTGAATCCTTATCCATTGAATGCTATTGTATCATACTTAAGGTTAACTCACATCTAAAAGGCACAAAAAAGGTGAAACATAATAATCAACAAAAAGTCACTTTTTGAAGCGTTTGTGGTCAATGACTGAACTATAGCTCTTCATTGAAATAAAATTCTGTTGGATTAATATGAACAGCCTATATACCATACCACTGATGTCAGTTGTGTCATATTATGGTTAACTACTATACATGTACTTAATATTCTTGGACGATCTCAAATTTTGGCAAAATGATTGTGTTACACACTGAGGCATTATTACCTCATACCACTGGACCCATATATTTATAAGAACAATGAACCTTGTCTATATATATAATAAGTACCCTATGGGTTAAATACATGGCTAACATGCGCCTTCTCTCTGTACCATGTCACATTTCAGCCAGAAAATGCACATATAATTTACATACATAAATATATGCCTTACAGTATATATATATAAGACTGAGCAATACATATATGTGATCCAGTGAAACATCAAAGAAAGAGAAATTTTCTTACATGGTGTTTGCATACATAACATGAAAAATCAATATATACAATTATGTATGCATATGTGATATCCCCCTCCCCTTTGTAAAAGGGGAGAAGCGTTGCCAAACACAAAAAGTGTAAGGTCACACCGAGTGTTTTTGTCTTAAAGTTGAGATTTCACTGGATCAAACATTTAGCAACATTTCACAATATGAGCTATCTACATGTATATGTTATCTCTCTTCGTCATATACTAATATATACACAATACAACATGGAGGCTTATGTACCCTTAACAATGCTGCTTTAACATAGCGGAATGACTTGAATATATATGTCTGTTATATTTATGTATATTATTTATGTACACACTTATTTCAACAATACTAATATATTATTTGATTCCTTATTGTGATATACAAGAATCTATTACTAACACACTAGATCTTTGGTTTAGAGCTATTCCATGCATGTGAATATGCATTTCCTTATGTTTAAATTGTCCCTATTACATAAGGCCTGTAGTAGTACAGTGTCTGTATATATCCATATTTGGACAAGTCTAATTCATTGAGGTGCAGAATTCAACAAATTGAATCATTGTTGTCATGGCACATCTGACATGTGAATTATGATGTCACACTGACACAACTCTCGATACACTGAAGTCAACTTGCAAATGTATATAATACATTGCAAAGTGTGCTTGTTTGTACTCGTGTAAATATCATATTATGTACAATACTGATGATCATGGGGTAATCTTATTGCACCTCATTATATATTCGAACCAGGCTTGGAACTAGCCAATCATGAGTGAGCAAGAATAGATGGAAACCATACATTTTAGTACTGTATATCAATACTATACAAACAGTTTGTGCAAGTATTGTATAGGAGTACTCCATGCACATTGTAAGCAATATATATTAAGGATAAGTACTATATATAAGTAAAAGTACCATATATTTATACAATAAGCATGGGCTTTCAATATCTATTGAAAGCCCATGCTATAAGTAATGTATGGTAGTCACTTTTGCTAAGATAGCAAAAGTTATACGCATTGAACGATATCTCATTTCCCGGGGAAAATTGCTGGGCATTAATGCATTATTGGCCTGCCACTATGACGTCACATATTGCTCAGGTCGATATAGTAAAATAAATGCCTTCTTAACTAGCACTAATACCCCTAGAACAGGCCCGGCAAGGTGGTAATAACTAATAATACATAAGGAATTTGACAATATATGAACATATCATCATTAATGTATCATCTATTTAGTGCCAAACAAATAATGAAAAGGCTTATGTTTAAGAAACCCTATTCTTACTATTGAAATGGATTCTACCAATAGTATCCCACATGAATCACTTGTTGAGATTCGATCACTTTGGGTTCTTCTGAGATAATGAGGATTTTGTATCTATCCCCATGTTAAATCAATGGTGAATATCCCCATGTTAAGTCAATGCACCCTTGCTGAAATCCTCAAACTCGTATTGATTGAATCTCAACAAGTAGAATATTGATAGGGAGTATTAGTACTATGGATTCCAAGTAGTAAGAATTGAGGTTCTTAAACAGGACATTGGGCTTGATTTTCAAAACCTTTTGTTGGCTCCAATTTAGACATAGCGAACATTGAAACAGGATCATCCCTGTCACTAATGACCTAAGATGACTTATATCCCATGACTGAATTACATGTACATGTGCTCATATTATTTACATTTCATGGGTATATGCAGGTTCAGGCTGCATGGATTATACTTTAAATGCAATATTTGTAATTTAACTGGCTGGTCAGTACTGGAGCATTGGTCCAAGTCCTAAAACATGCACTTCTATATCCAATGTATGCATGTTTGTATATATTAAGTATTGATGTTTTAAATACTAAATATACATGTATTATATGTAGTATATATGTATATAATGTACTTTATTGTACATCTTAGCATTCCATGTGTTTTCTCAATTGCACATTATTATCAGGTATTTTTATTATCAATGTCCTTGCACAACTTCTTGCCCAAAGTAAAATATATTAATTCAATTGTAGTGCTATACTGTATTAATAATGAAATTTTCCAATTTAGTTGTTAATTATAAATAAATATTTTAGGTACATTTATTTCAAAATTTGAAACTTTATATTGCCACTGTGTCTCACTGAGTCGACCATAGAATAAATACTATAGTATTTAACTATTATGTACATGTATTATAAATCTTTAGAGTTGCTCTACCTGTTTATGCAGTAAAATTCTTCAAGATAAAAACGTCTCCAAAGATAGTTGAAACTCACACCTTGAGAGTTATCTATGTTTAGATGAACCAGGACGAATAAATAATACAATTAAAATGAAATAATAAATAGTAGATATTTCAATATAAAAGAAATTTGGGCTCATTTTAATTGTATTAATTACTAATTGATTCAATAAAACTGGATAGATTAACTTAGTGTAGTTTGAATTTACTATAGGCCCTTAATGTTAATACATGTAGATAAATACCTAATATTGTTTATATCAGAGTGCTGCTGCTCTAAAAGCACATTTCTAAATAAATAAATAAAATATAATTACTTGTTGACATTGTTCTCTATGTAATCAATCAAAGGACTAGTAATGGGTGAAAAGGAATGACCAAAATTCCATCAGTGGAAAAATGACTAGGCTGAATAAGTATTTTGTAAAATGTAAGTGAGGATTCTATAATGTAATAATATAAATAAAGAATTGAATCAGGAATCCTGCCTGAAACTTGTTATTGCCTGGTGACTTCATTAAAATGATACCATATTGTTCAGTACTGTGCTTATGCCACCATATTTGCTTTAAAATATATGCTACCATATTTGCTTTAAGATACACTAGTTGTACCTTCTTTCCCCCATTATAATTTACAATATTAAATTGTTACACTTTCATGACTCCAATTCATTTGCCTCGACATAATGCTACAATATTTCCCTTATTTTCATTTTTTTTATTGTGATGCAATTATGGTTGGTTCATCATGACGTAAAAAGATTTGAATGCCTATTTGCAAAAGCTAAAATAAACATACCATAAGTGCATTCATCTCAGGCAAATGCTAAGGCATTCAGTTAAATTCATGATTATTCCACGGTATTCTATGAATTCAATCTGATGGAACAGTTCTCATCATACTTTAGTGCCAATAACCTGACCCAAGGTAAACACAAGTAGTTGGCAACAAAATTACTATCAAAATATCTGATACCCTGCACTAAATGTGCATTGAGCATACCACCTGTACTTGTACCACAATTTCTCTATTGTAGCAAATTATCTACTTGTAGCAAACATATATCTACTTGTAGCAAACACATTCTCTTTTGTAACAATTATTTACTCTCGTCCTTAACATGAATCTACTTGTAGCAAACACATTCTCTTTTGTAACAATTATTTACTTGTCCTTAACATGCATCTACTTGTAGCAAACACAATTGTAGCAAACAATTATTTATTTGTAGCAAACATGTATCTACTTATAGAACTTTACCTACTTGAAGTAAACTCTTAGTTCTATTTACTTGTTGTAAACACTTTCTCTATTTGTAGCAAACACTTATTTACTTGAAGCAAACATGTACATACTTGTAGCAAACACTTTTTCTATTGTAGCAAACACTACCATGTATGTACTTGTAGCAAACACTTGCACCATTTTTCATCTTTGGTTACTGGAGGGTTCTGGTCCACTGATTGATGTATGTTTCCATTTGAGTTGTGCCCTAACAGAGCTCTATCTGAGTGAATATTTAGCTTAATGGATAATTATCCCATAGGTCTCAACAGACTCTATCTTAGCTTATACTGAACCTCCAATGTTAGCCTGTATATCATTTAGCAACTATATGAACCTTTCGGTTCCAGGGGGCATTTATCCCTCCTTCTTTGACCAACAGAGTGCAGCACATACTATTGGTCGGAAAAGTTTTCGCTATGAAATATATAGCATATAGTTTGTTATAATTATAAAACTTCTGACTGATGAGTTGATTGCATGTACAATAAGTACATTCATATTTTATCCTCTAATATCATAACTCCCACATTGTTGTGAAGTTCTGCTGGATTACACTAATAGCATCTCTGCTGGATTACACCTCTGTATCACGCTGCATGTGTAATGTATCCATCTGATCAAGTATAAAAGTTACAGTGTGTTGGCGTATTGTACCAATATGACCCTTCAGCGTGGATATCTGGTCATTCGCCTCATTCAGCTTACTCTGAAGTTGATTCTTATCTGCGATCATCTTATCTCTTTCCTGAAAATCAAATATAATATCTATTAATCAGAAATATATTATTTCATCCATCTTCTACGTCATTGTGTATACGTTTCTTATTCTGCTTCAATACCTTATTTATAAAGAATAAGTCATCTTAAGTTGCAGGCACAGACAGTTCGTCACCATAAGTATATGTTCATTACAAAGAAGTGATCTTATACTGAAGTCAGTGGAGTATGTGCTAAAAAGGGGTGTTCACTAGAGAAAGGTGTTCACTAAGACAGGTTCAACTTTATTGTTTCTTTACTCCAATTTAAAATGGATCCTACCTCTTCTGCCTTCAACATGCGGTCATATACCACATGTTGATCCTCAAAGAATTCTGTATCAGCATTATTCAAATTGTTACTACTGAGCACCTCCTCAGTCTCCTTACATTCTGACTGAGAGCCAGCAAGGTTGGGGCTCCCTACCAATGTCTCATCCGTCTGCACCCCCTTGTGTGACCTTGACCTTTTTTGGCGTTGAGACATTTTACGTTTGGAGGACGCAGTGATGTTGTGTTGACCTTTAAATAGAATTAAAATAAGAAAAACAGTCTTGCGATGAATGGGAATGGAAGATTCTGTGATACTAATAGCATCTTTATTTCTAAGTTATCTTTATTTAGAATCTTTTTGGCTTGTACATGTATCATTTGTTGAAATCCATTTCTATTTGTTAATCCCAAAATGTTTGAGTATGTTATTTTTGAACCTCTCTACAGTGTAGACTCACCTGTACTTATTGAATTTCTGGAGAGGACCCCGGAGTGTGCTTTATGCCTGCATTCCATGACGACTAAATCCTTGCAGTGTTTGTGAGCATTTATCCCACACTCCTTGCATTTCCAGCCCTGCTTTATGAGACCCCATAGCTGAAACACAAATACATTTACATTATTTACACTTTAAGTATTTCAAAACTCTAGTTAATATATATGAACGTTACAAGATGTTACCCCCTGATGAGCTAAAATGTGTAACACTTTGTTACAGATGCCTACCATCCTCACTTGGCCACAAAAATAGTGGCTAGAACAACATACAGTGTATTACCTCTCTGGGTGATAACATGAGGATGAGCAATTTTTACCTTATTGTTTATATAAATTCAACCATGTGACTCTCTTCATAAAACATTAAAATATACAGAAGTGGCAGTGAATACATAAATGAATTCTGCACTGAGCTGACTTGACCTGGATCGATGAAACTATGTCAACAGATTTTAACAGTGCATATACACAATTCATCATGCATTGTTGAGTTACAAAGAGCAGTAAAAAAGCATATTGATCAATTTAATTAATTTGATTAGAGTATTTATTCTCGGTTGAATGCATGAAAAACCAGCATGAAAATTGATTTTAAGCAGAACTTTTGTTAAGCAGAACTATATTCCCATAGTGCATGTGTAAAAAATACCAAATATCTGGACAATAGTATTTGAGTTATTGCGAGGACAGATGTACAGAAAGATAGACAGAGGCATCCTCTATATTCAACATTCAATCAATTAGATAATTCTAAATTTACCATAAAAATGCTTTGTTCTTGATTTAGTAACCCTAGGTGCAATGGCTCCCTGACTAAAGATTTGTATACTGTGGTTCAACTTGTGCTAAATCTCAACATTGCATAAAGGAAATAGAAGTTAACCCTCATACTTCTGTAAGTTAAACAAATAAAGTTAACCCTCACCAGGCCAGTGCAGTGTATACAGAATGTTGGCTTAAAATAGGTGAATTCGTGGAAGTCATGCTTAAATGAACTTTTCACTGCATGGCAGTTGGCACGTATAAAATAAGTCTTCATCTCTGCCTTGCTTATCATACCATCTCTGAAATAGAGAAAATAAAAACTACAGCTCAAAATACTTAAAAAAACAAAAATCTTGTTTCTAAATCTCTTTTAATCTTTTTCCCAAATCTTAAAATATAGGACATTCTGCGTATGAGCAAAAGTGAATGCCTTGCATGCAAATTACAAAAATTCTTTTCTTTATATAACCTCTTCGAATAATAACTGAAAAATTTCAGAGTGCCCAGATTACCTGTAGTCTAGGCACTAATAGAGGCAGAAATTATAAGTTATAACTTAACGAATGTGGATGTGTTAATTGGTGCAGGGACTTAATAATAATAATAATACAACAATTACGCTCTCAGATGGTAAATACTGAGACCTGGAGAAAATACCTGGGGTAGACATATGACTTTGAATCTCCCTGGTCTAAATATACACTATAGAAAATATAAATAAAAAAAAGTACATCACAAACAAGTTAACTTACTGGTCTGCATCCAGCACACAGAAAGAGTCTATAAATGGGAAATTGCCAGCAATTGCTTCAAACTCAGCGTGTGAAATGAAACCATCTCTATCATGGTCGTAGTTCTTAAAGACAGCTTCGACCATGTCGTGAACATGTTTGTTGATTATCTCAGTATCTGGGGGGCTTACTCCGGCAATCCAGTCTGCAAATACGACTGGCTTTGTAGGAGTGCTTGGCTGCAAAATAAAAATCATTCATTATTTTACTGCTTTAATATATTGTGGATACATTGTTGAATGATTTTTCTAAATATTTTTTTGATATTTGCCTCAAGCTTAAAATGTGTAATAGCGCAGACTCTCCTGTATATAATAATACATTGTTCTTGATATTGAGTTTTATTCCTTAAGCAAATATTATTTTACATAACAACTGTGTGGGAGTGAATAAAGATGAGGAAGAAATATAAAACAACTTGTAATAATATAATGTTTCAAGCAAAAATATGATTGACAGCATTGTGACTTTTATCGACAACATTGTGTCTTTTATCAACAGCATTGTGATTTTTATCATAATAAACACAGGAAGTACATTACAAAAACAATTGTCGGGCAATATGTGTCAATTTGTCAGAAATTAAGATTACCTTGAAAATGTAGTTCAAACCCTATGTGTACCTGTACTTTATTTACAAACTTTAGATCAATTTCAGATACTGAAAACTCAATTTCAATTAAAACAATAAATATTATTTAACTTTACATTGAAGATCATCTCTTCAAATCTAGTTTCAAAGATCACTCACTGCTGTCTTTTCACAAGCCTGAATTTTTCAATGATTTCACTGAATTTAGGTACAAGTCTCCTCGTGTAATTGCTGTTAGATGCTACTTACGGAAAACAATGAATTACTTACGGAAGACAATGAATTACTTACGGAAGACAATGAATTTCTTGGCTCTCTAGCAAGTGATAGCTCATAAATATCATCCTCTGTATAATGCATGTCCAGAGATAACTGAAACATTAGAAAAATCATCTGACTGAAAAATCTTTCTATACATTTCTATAATGGAAATCAACCAGAGATCACCTTTTCTAATAATGCATATGCATTTATGTGAAGGAAACACTAAGGTTGCATAAAAGCCATATATAGAGTTTTAATGCAAAATATCAATTTTACTTAACAGACAGAAAGGAGGCCCATGAAGTCAACATTATAAATTGTACAGAAATGAAAGAAAATCTAAGCAAGACTATTATATAGGAACCAGTGTTTTTTTAAATTTTAAACATTCTAACTATACTTGAAATATTTACAATATTTTCAATAAATGTGAATAAGGCATTAATATGACAAAATGGCACCACCTAGTTGCTGACAATGTTAAGAGTTCAATCTTTAGTCAGATTTGAATTTCTTAAAACTTGTAGATGATTTTGAAAACATAAATTGGTAAATTTGAAGCAGGTTGATAAAATAATTTTTGACCATGAGAAGGTCCTTGAAGGTGAATCTCAAATCTAATATCAGATTTGAACTTCTGAGAACTTGTAGATGATTTAGAAAAAAGTGGTTGAATTGAAGCAAGATGAAAAAATACCTTTTTGACCTTTTTTGACCTTGAGAAGGTCATGGTTATGGTCAAATCTCAAATCTAAAGTCAGATTTGAACTCCTGATAATTTGTAGATGATTTTGAAATCTTTTTTGTCAATTTGAAGCATGTTGAAAAAAGACCTTTTTGACCTTGAAAAGGACATTGAAGGTCAAATCTTTTTTGACCTTGAGAAGGTCAAATCATGAAGGTCAAATATATAGTCAGATTTGAACTTCTGATATTTTGTAGATGATTTTGAAAATTGATTTTGAAGTTGTAAGAATCTGTTACAGACGCCGATCACCAACCCCCAATTGCCAACCACTGTCAAACAAACGGAGACCATAACAATATGTCACCACTTTTTGGTGGTGACATAATAAAGTCAAGAATTCAACGTTGTCGCAAAGTAAAATCTTATTCCAAATGGATTCCCCCTTCAAAACACATGACTCTTACCCCCTCCCCCAACTTTGTTCTTTTGTACATACAGAACATATTCATTCGTATTCTCTCTTACCCTTAGTGTATTAACCAGGTCCATGTTGGCCTCTATGGGAACACTGGTGTTCTGCAGGTGCATCAGTTCAGTGAAGATGACGGACATTTGAACCATCTTGCGGAAATTCAGCATATTTGGCTCTATCCAATCAGGTAATGCTGTATGAAGTAGGATCAAGTCTTTCAGGTGTACCCCTCTATAAAGCAGAAATATAGAATTATTCACATAGTTTTTGAATGCTACAAAAATTATAATTATAATTCATTATAATGATCCATGAAATGTATATGCCCCGGCCCTGGGATGTCTTTTCCATTGTATAATTAAATATTTACTGAAATAACTTGAATTGAATTATACTTGTTTTTGAAAGGGTATAATGGTGATGTTGGATCTATGTAGAGCTACACAGTCCCATAAGAGTTGAGGTACAGTCCCATAATGCTCACATGTAATCATACTTTAATTGCATCTAGTGGTTTAAAGATGTTTAGATAATTCAAAAGTATATGATTTGATTTGATTAAGTCAAAATGATGGTAGAAAGATGAAACTACTCGAGTCTTGATTATGACTCTGTTAGGGGTTGACTTTAAACTCATTCTGAATTCTGTTTTATTGGGTTTAGGGTGGGTCTAGCAGTAAACAAATGAATTACAAGAAGAATTTAGTTTGAAACATTTGACCTCTTCATTGCTTAAGCACCAGACAGATGCAAAACCAATGGAATTGTAATAGTTAACCTGCCTTATTAGGAAACACTCAGGGGATTTCTCAGAACTGTAGAAAAAATGTGATAAACAAGTATATTGATTTGCAAAACAGCTTAAAGCAATGCATTTTATGTCATTTCAAAGAAAGAATGTTTCGTATGTCAGCCTACTATACGAAAAATATTGGAATTAGCCTAAAGACCTTTGTTGCCCATAGTCACTGGAATAAATGTCATTTGATGTTGACATAGTTATAGTAGGTTAACTCTTCTTATGGACATCTGCACTGTAATGCATATTCTAGTAGTATGTACATGCACTTTAGAAGACTTACTGTATCCACCATTTGGTTATTGTAAACAAATCACATGTTGTGACCATAAACTTGTTTATTGTAAATAAATCACATATGCACACAATTGAATCATTTAAAAAGCCCCACTATGCTTAATTTAAAAGAAAAATAGAAAAATTAATCATTGACACATGTTACCCACACACTCAATTAAATATGATACAAATTAAGTTTGATTTGCAGTAATATTAAACCAAGGAAAAAATAACTCACATAGAAAACGGCATTTGAAGTTCAGATATCATTAGAAGTGCATGCACATTTTTGACAAAGTGCATGTTTTAAATTACTCTTGATTTAAAAGTTGGCGACACTTCTATAAAAATGAAAGTATCATGTAATACAAACAACTTCTTTGACATTGATGAAAACTTGATATATAAAGCTTGACATATCCAAAATATTTTTTGACAACATATTGCAAGCTTTGATGTGGCCCGTTTGAGCTGTTTTGGTGTCAAATGAAAGATTAAGTACTGATATCAATCCATTGAAAATACTATGAAATTCAAACATGAGACTTTATTTTTCCTCAAAATGTTGAAAATACGCAAAGTGGGCCTTTAAGATTAAAAATTGATAAAAGTTATACAATTAATTGACAACTCTTTGTTGCTAGAGGAATATTTGGCTCACTAGAGCATTACACAATAATAATATTGAACTGCACTCACAAAATTGGAATCCTGAATCCTTTACACTGGCCATAAACACGGCGGTAGTTACTGAAATTATTGTTGGATGATAATACTTCGGAATATTCCAGTAAAATCTGAAAATAGAAACCAACAAAGATAATAAACATAAATACATTTTAATAAATAAATGAAAAACTGAAATTAATGATAGTGATAATGCAGGAAATCACTCAGACAAAATATCTGTGAGGGACATGTGTCCAATGTTCAAAGGAATTTTGAAGTACAAAAAGTCCTCTCCTTTGCTTCAATATACAAATAAAGCAATGGCATTTTTTGATAAATTGATACATTTTCTCCGATCATAATTTTGGCAGAACTATGTAGATTGTATCAAAACTTGTTGAAGTGAGTTATGCCTTAATGTTGCTGACTTGCTGGAAGTGCCAAAAAGTCAGCTGCCAAAATCTGGTGAAGTAAATTAACAATCCATCACTCTTTCCCTACAGATATCGATGGTTAAGAATGGTAGTGTCTATTTTGTAAGTTTATGCCTTCCCTAAAATACATTAGGTTAAATCTATGCCAGGGGACATCTTTTCCATGGTTGTTATGAAGTGTTTGATAAAATAATTGCATTCCTACCTTTTGAGCATCTGAAGGTAAACATGCCATGGTTTTAGCCAATCTGGCCAGAGCGCTGTGTGTCAGGCCCCCAACCACTGCCATCATTGTATTGAAATTCTGCAGTTCACGTAATCTCTGAAACATAACTGAGTGGTTTAGTACTTCTGATTTACCCAGATTCTCTTTTGCCAACTTTTTTATTTTATCACATGTAAATTTCATTTTTGGCAAAACTGAAAATCATAATTACATTGAAATGGTTTATCGCTTTGGCGCTTTTAAGAATCGCAAAAGTCTATCGATGGTCATAGGTTATTCTTAATTATTTCTCAGAATCTTGGTGTTTTTGGTATCAGATAGGGCAGGGTTATACTCTGCACCAATTTAATAAATTAAATACAAACAAATACAAAAAAATATGCTTACCTTTGCCACATTGATAAACTTGACAATGATATCAGCCCTCTGTTGAGGGGTAGTCTTACTAAGGACCATACATTGTATCCACTGAGAGAGACCATTGAACAGGGATATGGAACGCTCCAACTTTGGATTATCCTTCAGTGATACACGGACTGCATAGTTCTTAAAGTCGGTGAACTGAAAAACAATAGAATTTGTCTGAACAGAATCCAGGGACCTTATGTTCACCTTATACAGTATTTACATGTATGATGTATCAAGACTTGAATCATTGGTATTAAATCATCACAATTTTTGGATCAAGCAGGGTGATTCTAGGAATAATGCCACATAAACTTATTGTGAATTGTCTTAGGGCTTTATATTCTAGAATAATGTCGCATAAACTTAGGATGATTTGCCTTAGAGCTTTATATTATTGGAATAATGTCACATAAAACTTACTGTGATTTGTCTTATGGCTTTATATTCTAGAAATAATGTCACATAAAACTTACTGTGATTCGTCTGATGGCTTTGTATTCTAAGAATAATGTCACATAAAACTTACTATGATTCATCTTAGGGCTTTATATTCTTGGAATAATGTCACATAAAACTTAGTGTGAATTGTCTTAGGGCATATATTCTAGGAATGATGTCACATAAAACTTACTGTGATTCATCTTAGGGCTTTATATTTGAGGAATAATGTCACATAAAACTTACTGTGAATTGTCTAAGGGCTTGATATTCTAGGAATAATGTCACATAAAACTTACTGTGATTCATCTTAGGGCTTTATATTCAAGGAATAATGTCACATAAAACTTACTGTGAATTGTCTTAGGGCTTTATATTCTAGGAATCATGTCACATAAAACTTACTGTGAATTGTCTTAGGGCTTTATATTCTAGGAATGATGTCACATACAACTTATACTGTGAATTGTCTTAGGGCTTTATATTATAGGAATAATGTCACATAAAATTTACTGTGATTCGTCTAAAGGCTTTATTTTCTAGAAATAATGTCACATGAAACATACTGTGATTCATCTTATGGCTTTATATTCTAAGAATAATGTCACATAAAACTTACTATGATTCATCTTAGGGCTTTATATTCTTGGACAATTGTCACATAAGACTTACTGTGAATTGTCTTAGGGCATATATTCTAGGAATGATGTCACATAAAACTTACAGTGATTCATCTTATGGCTTTATATTCGAGGAATAATGTCACATAAAACTTACTGTGAATTGTCTTATAGCTTTAAATTCTAGGAATGGTGTCACATAAAACTTACTGTGAATTGTCTTAGGGCTTTATATTCTAGGAATAATGTCACATAAAACTTACTTTGATTCGGCTTAGGGCTTTATATTCTAGGAATAATGTCACATAAAACTTACTGTGACTTTTCTCAAGGCTTTATATTCTAGGAATAATGTCACATAACACTTACTGTGGATTGTCTCAAGGCTTTATATTCTAGGGATAATGTCACATAAAACTTACTGTGAATTGTCTTAGGGCTTTATATTCTAGGAATAATGTCACATAAAACTTCCTGTGATTCGTCTTGGGGCTTTATATTCTAGGAATGATGTCACACAAAACTTACTGTGATTCGTCTTAGGGCTTTATATTCTAGGAATGTCAATTGCTCTGCTAAGTCATTGGGCTGAAGATGATTGAACTCTAACGTCACTTTTTGAGACCTTCTCAGATTCATTGGATTCCGCACTGAAACTGCTCTTATCCAATCATATGATGGCCTGAAAAATATTATCCAATTCTAAAATAATTCACTGTTCTCTGTTATTTGTTCTGCTGACATATTTGTATAATTTGTCATAAAACGTGTAATAACAACAAATTCATTTTTGAAAAATGTATTTTTTATTTCATACAATTATTTGATATTTCTTGGAAAGAAATTCAGGGTTTCCCATAGAATCCTGGGTCAGACACATGCCAAGTCCAAGTCAGCTTCTCAATATCCAGGTCTCACAGAGTACCCTTACATTAACCTTACAAAAAGAGCATGTTAACATTGACATTGCATAATGACAGATCACCTATATCTCGAGACAGATGATATGCAACAATTGATAAACTATACAATAAGAAAATATGACTCTGAAACCAAGATGCAGAACTAATGTACCGAGGAATAAACTTGCTCCTTGAGGATTTTTTCAAGGGTAATATCAAGATCCTGTTATTTTAGGAAAACAGACATTTTATGCTCTGATAATAATCAAACAGGATATTATGATGTGATACGTCCAGGTTATCGTAGGATCGTGACTATATACTGTAAAACCTGTGTGATAATCCAGCAATCAAGTACCCTTTGAAATAGTGATCAACATTGTCCTACCCTCTTAAATATACCAATGAAACGTCTCCACTAGCTGAGCCAATCAGAGTTTATCATTTTTAACCCCAATATTCTGATTATGGTTTAGGGGAAGGAGTAATCAAGGCATCAAGCCATTAAATTATTGGATCTAGTAAGAAGGAAGTATTAATACCAATTATCTCAGGGTAACAATGAAGATCCTTTCATAGCTGATCTTGAAATAACACGTTTATTGGACAATGCCTACATTCTATACCTTATTAGCTAGTGGTTGATATCTAATAAAGAACACTTTGTGTGAAAACAACATCATTCATGGTTGGAAATAATTATGACTTATTGCCAAGAATCATGCTGTTTTCTAAGAAGCTATAATCGATGAAGTGTGTCAAACAAAAATTTTCGGAATTTCATATTTATTAGTTTTGATTGTTAATTTGCTGTTGTATAACATAGTTTCATGTGTCTAGTTATTTCCCACTTTGCCTCAAGTGTTTTATGATTTGGAGAAGTATCTATTATATTCAGGGGATGAGGCCTTAATTCTTCACCATATACAAGTTGTATAGTATAAGTCTTATAATATATGGGTATCTAGTACCAAACCTGTAAATATAACACTAGATAACTATACCACATGAATAAATAAAAAAGTATTGAACAAACAAACAAACAAACAAACAAACAAACAAACAAACAAACAAACAAACAGACAAACAAATATACATATATTTTACTTACACTCTGGATGTATCTACAAGTTCAGCCAACAGTTTGTATCCCTGACTGGTCAAAGTATTTTTAAAATTGGTCAATATGTTGCTAAGGTTACCATCAAGGTCGAAGTGGACAGGGAATGTCATAATCCAATAACTGAAATAAATAAAATAATTATATTGCTTTATTATCTTACCATTTTATGATTGGCCAAAACCAGGTCACATGACAAGAAAGAACATGTAGTATTTACCAGTTGTGCATATCAAACATCAAAAAAATCCAAGGAGCTATTCCCAGCTAATTTCCACTTTCTAATTGGGATATTTATATGATGACTCTATGCACATTACAACAGATGCAAGTGAAAATAATCTTGAATTTCATGGTTACATATTTAAAAATCAGCCAAAGTGATACCAAAATTGAAAACTACATTCGAAATGATATTCATTTATGTGATTTTAAAGATAATAGAATCAGAGAGGAAAACTAAAATGTTAAAATTGCCCCTTCTCAGGAAAGCACTGTCAACTTCGTAAATAAAACATTCTGTTACCATATCCTTATTCCAGATAATTTCCCTTTCAAACCCTTGACAAATAGTGTCATTCTTGAAACTCTGGTTTGCTCAACTAAAAGTGTAAGTATGATACCATAGGAAGAAATTATATATACACTGTATCAAAGGATTATATTGACATATGAAGGATTAACCCAAAGGTTGCATGATGTCATGGAGATAAATAACAATATATATCTTATCCTTGATAAACATCGCCCAAGGTCACAACATGATACCATAGAACAAATAACAATACTAGTAAACATTTTATAATGCGTGACACCCCTGGGAAACATCAATTGATAATTTTAATTAATTGTACTATATGATTTTAATCACACATTCCAATGAAAATTAATTAACAAGGCATTAACATGCAAAATGTCACCATCACTTGCCATTTGTTACAAATGCCCCATTGCCTAACGCCATCTAGACGCAAAACACAATTCACAAAAAAGTTTGAGACTTTAACAATACGTCACATAAAAATAATGCCTAATGACATACAAAGCCAATGAAGAATGTACTCCATGTACTGTTATTCATTTTTACTATTGCAGTGCCAACCGTGACAAAATTTTTCTTTTATTTCAGAAATGGTATAGAGTATTATAAACAATTCAATGGTATTTTTCCTCTGACATTATTTCCCATTTTACTAGTCACTCTACTATACCTAGCCCCTAGAAATGCATAAGATACTCTGTTTCTCCAATTGTATTGTTTATTTTATTTTTGAAAGTACCTTATTAACATCTAATGTCATCCGATAAACCATTAATAAGGAACAAACAAATAAAAACAAATAACATAATCATTACTTATAAGCCAAAAGGGTTGCTCATGAACACCAAATGCAAAGTATAGTAGTGTAGCACATTGAGATATGATGATTGATATCAATGATATTTTATGTGAGAATTTTCGTTGTAGTCTATGATGTCATAATCAAAAGAATCTTTGTCAGTTGCTTGAACAAAAATTACACAAAAATCGAAATATTGAAAACTAAATCGTTTTTTTATTAAAAAATGAAAACAATTACTTAATGTGAGAGACATAACAAATGTTCAGACAGTTTATTACTCAACATCTAACAATCAAATCCTCTTAAAACTTAATTATAAAACCTTGCTAAAGTACATTTTGTTTGTGCTCAGTTTACAATATTGTTCTACATATTTTCTTTTCTCATTGTTCGATATCTCTTGTTTTTCTATCTCTGTACTTGAACTTGTGGTGCTCTGTTGGTCATATGAATAGCTATAAACTAATGAGCATTTTAGCCTTCTTGAGACTTGATCTTCAATTGTTCTGAACATATTGAGCTGCCCCAGTATTACCTTTTAGGATGATAGGCTCCTTTTGGCACAATTATTTTTGATTCATTTTTGACAATGGTGATACATGTATCTACAGTATTTTTACACCAAATTTTAAGAAATCGTTGAAATATGATTATTCTTATTAAAAATTGTATTTTAGTGATACAATTTTAAGTATAGGTCCAAGGCACTCATATGCAGTTTTTCCATCACATTATCTCCTTGTATTCAAGTCGGGAAAGGGTTAAGTAAATTGAATTTAGCCCTCACCCTTAACTTCAAAATCAAGACTGGAACTTTCACAGAAACACAGATAAAAGACAAATAGCTGCTGGAAAAGTACTTTTGTACTGCTTGATCAACAAAACAAAGGAAAATCAATATAACGAATGTTAATAAAAATTGCAAGTGGATCAGATCTGATTTCGAAACTCATTAATAGACAGTGGACTATTGCATCAGCTCATAGTCAATGTCACGACATAGGATAACAATGATTGGAGTGAGCAATTACTTGTGACAGGATGTGTATTCTTTATTAATAAACTAGAAAGCAGACATTCTGAAAAGTAGCAAATCCCAACAATCCCAAATCAAGCATCATTTGAAGACCTTTTAGTTGCACATAATAAACCACATCATCCGAATGACACAAGCAACACCTTAAAAAGATCTCAACAGATTTAAAGTGAATTCACACAGACATGTACAAGAAGCAGTCATTTTGATACCTTAAATATGAAGAAAACCAGTCTTGTTGTATTTGAGTTTTGAAGGTCATACATACAGACTTGTTTTTATGCAGATCCTGGCACGTTGGAAGCAATCTTTCCAAATACATGTCAATGTTTCTGTCACTGTCTAATTTTTTTTACTTTCTTTTAAAAGGAATTGAGATATCTGATTGAATACAGAAGTTGTTAGAAGATTTTAAATGCAGAAGTCATGGGTGTAGCGCAGTTTTTATGAGAAGTACGCCACAACAGTAACATGAGTTGACTAAAGCGAAAAACGAGCGTTCATGGGGGTCTGTGGGGTTCCCCCCAGATAATTTTTAAATTTGGTTGTATTTTGTGTATATTTGCAACCATCTAGTGCGCCTGTGCGTACCAGGCATACCAGGCGCTACGCCCATGGAACTGGAAGTGTCCTAATTTTTGGTTATTGAAAAAGAGGCTCCTCTTTCCTGCTTCATAAACAAAGGAAAAAAGCATGACATAGAATAATGAACCAAAACTATAAATGCTGTTAAAGAGTGACAATTTTTTGAAAGTTACGGCGAATTCATTTTTAGGTTTGCTTTAATTTGAGAGGAATTGCAATACCAGAAATTGTAGGACAAAACCAATAACAGCCTATAAGTCTGAATACTCTATCTTGATTGGCAAAAGACATGTTACCATATAAAATAGTGTAAAATATCAATGTCATCTCTATATTGTTAGGTATATTTGTACATGGGACTTACAAAAGATTCTTCCAAGTTTATACTTATAAACAATATGATTTCCATGTATAAACATAATAGAAAACCCTTCGGTTATGGTTTGTCAAGCTGTCTAGCTTCCGTGTCATATACAGTTCATTTTGCCATTAACGTCATTCAGAAAAAAACAAAAACAATAGAATGTAATAAAGTGGAAGTCAGTATAGAGGACGAGAAAGTATAAAATGCTGGAAGCGAACTTTTCAAGAATCACGCCAATCATAATCTTATTTTTAAAAAAAAAATTGAAATTTCTGATCAAGGTAATGAAGATGCAGAAATTGCCAAGTTCATTAGAATTAAAAAACTTTTCTTTTGGAAGGTACTCTCAACTTGTTTCAATTCTTTGTAGCCCCTTTAAAGTTCATTAAACTATATTGAACCTTGAACGTGACATTCAGTATCATTGATCGAGTACATTCAATGACATTTTAGCTATACAATACTACAAGGCTTTTCCACGATGACTCAATCTTTTTCCAGTACACATGTCAATGAAACATCTAAATAAACAAGGCATTGGCATGCAAAATGTCACCACCTGTCATTTGTTACAGAAGCTGTAACAGACGCCAAACACCGTCCACAATATAGTTGGAGACTATAATAATATGTCATCACTTCTGGTGGTGGTGACATAAAAATAGTTAAATATAACCTTTATATCGTGCTGTACCATTGTTTTTAATGAGAACCAGAATTTTAAAAGAGTTTTTCTCTGAACCACTATTATGCACTTATGGGCTAGTTTCTTCCTTAATTTTATTCCTTATGTTTCCCGATTGTTACAACAAAAATAGGTCACAACATTTTATACAAAAAGTGATTCAAAAGACTTTTTTGGACTAAAGATCACATCTTGATATCATTCGGTAAGACCACAAAATAAACCTTACCAAAGTGTATGAAATACAAATCAAGGGGCTCAAGTTGATGACCCCAGCCTTTTAATCATAATGTACATGCAATTGTATGATATAATAATAACAAATAGAAACAAGGCATTAACATGCAAAATGTTACCTCCCATTAGTTACAAACGCCGAGTGCTGAAAACTGAATGCTGTCTGATGAACAGATCCAAAAAAAGTTGAAGTCTATAACAAAATGTCATCACTTGTGGTGGTGACATAATTGGTGACATAAAATAAGAAAAATGGCAGAAAATTTCACATACCTTAATGCATGGCAGATCCTTAATTTGAAGATATTCAAGGGGCATTGATCATTGCGTACATCGTGATCACAGTTTGTGGGACACGTCACAAATTTTGTACCACTGTTAAACGTATAAGAGTTAAGGAAGTATTGTAAACCAGTACTTATATAATCAATTCATTCTGTTATATTATAAACAATAAAAAAAGTAAAATCTGACGCATAATAATATTGCTCTTTTTTAACTTAAAAAATCAAAAACAAGTTTGAGGAAATATCATTTTATCATTGAATCACAGCTCCATTTTAATTATATATTCTACAAAACTGTTAATATACTCTCTATTTCATAAATTATTTCAGTACAGTAGGGCCTGTCCTGTGTTAGTGGAATGCCCTTAGGAACGAAAAAAAGGGTTCCACTTGCAAGGTGTTCCACTTACAGAGGTTCATTGACATAGAGTCAATGGTCAGCAGGACTTTAAAAACCTGTTCTGCTTGTGATGTTTTCCACTTACAAAGCAAGCGCGTAGCTACGTTGAGGCAAATGAGGCAGCTGCCTCGTCGCTTTTTTCAGCCTTTGAAAAATAATGTTCGCGGATATAAAACTATTAAAATCTTTTGAGGTTCTGGCCGAGAGTAGCAACCTCATTGATGACTCTTTGTTAACTGTTGCAATGTCTAAAACTTGGTCCAGAGCAGATTTTGGCACGTTTTGCAAAAGGAATGATTATTCAGTGGTCCGTGGTCTTAATGAATAATTGACATACCATTGGAAAGAGGAGATATGTGGCTTCCTGGTTAACTAAGTCAAATTGATGTAATCATCACTGGTTTTGTGAATTTACAATGTATTTGTTTGTTGCGTTTTTATGGGACGCACTGTATTGTTATTGTCTCTTACTTAAAAAAAGTGGACGATGTTCGGCGTCCGTCGCTCAGCGTTGTAACAAATTGTTGCTGAAAAGTTTGCCTGTTTGATATTGTTCTACTAAATCTGCCCCTTTCTGTAAAACTGAAGAGTTGTTTTATAAATAAATTATTCAAAAGATGACTTCTTTCGGTCCGAATTTGTATATTAAGCTTACTCAATGCGTTGGGTTGAAGTATCATAATGCGTTATGCGTTGTGACAATGGGATTGGTTATGAAATATTTTTGCCTCGTCACTTTTTCCTTCCTGGCTACGCCACTGCAAAGGTGTTCCACTTAGCAGTTTCTGTAATTATTACATTCTTATCAAGCAGATCTACCTTAATACATATGAATGATATAAAACTGATATAAATACAACTTCAGCAATAATCATCTCCAGTCTAATAGCAGGAAATGATAGAAGCATCCTTTGAGATACTTCACATAAGAAGCACTCAGTCTAATACAGAATAAGAGCGAATATAGGGCCAGTATAAATATGTTGATGGTCAAAGGATTGGTATCGATATGGAGAATTGAATTCAACAATGTTTTTCTCTTAAACCAATCATTGAAAACATTCTGTAAAAAAGCATGGTATTTTATGTAATGTTGACGACAATTTAATGCGAAAATTATTTTTTAGTGCAATTGTTTTTGCTCCTTTCTACCAATTCTTGAGAATGAAATAAAATGTCTTTCCGATCCTTGTTGGAACAAAATAGCACATACAACATGTTTTTAGACCTCTCAATATTAAAGTTATACAAAGGAATTTTTGGTTGATCTTAAAAAAGTATTCAAAAAATTAAAACAAAATCCCCCGAAAATAGATAAAAATCAAGAAAAACCTCTTATTTCATTAACAAGATACTTTTTTTAAAATCAACCAAAATTTCCTTTGTACAATTACAATATTGAGAGACCTAAACATGTTGTGCTTATGTCGTTTTGTTCCAATGAGGTTCGGAGAGATGTTTCATTTCACTCTGGAAACATGATATCAAGAACAAAACAAGTGTTTGATGTGTTTTTTAAAACAATATAAATGAAAGTATGTATATCTATTTCAAATTATATTGTTACCATTCAAAAGATGGCCATTACATTGACAATTTGTAAAGTTTTCAGAAAGTTTTGATGACTGGTTTAAGAGAAACATGTGTTCAAAAAGTTCGCCATATCGATACCCATTCTTTATTTGGTTACTGGGCATTTATCAATTCTTTTAATTCCATCTTTTTTTAAACTTAGTCTCTTGTAAGAACGTTTAATATAAAAATTATATTCCTTACCAAAGTAGCACAAAATTGAACTGAGCTGTTGACATTTTTTATTTTTTATTTTTTTTATTTTTGTAGTATAGTGTATGCTATTAATTACAGAATGGACTGATATTACATCACTAATAGAGTTGAAATGCACATTTGCTGGATATAAATCTAAATTACCGAAAATAAAAATTCTACGTTTAAGATTCTTAAAATTTTAGTAGGTGACCAATATGTATTTTAAAAACATATTATTTAACTGTAAGTAAACCTTTAAGATAACATGAACTCAATATTATTGTTAATTTTGCTGTTATCAGGTTTTAATATTTAAGATAATATTAATTTTGCTTGAGATTTTCTAAAGCTGACGTGCATGTGAATAATAATACCTTATATGGCATTTCCATATATGGTGTTTCTTACATTTTCTCTACAGGTTTATGAACAAAAAAGGCCATTCATGTTATACTGATAAAGTTGAAATAAAAAAGGGAGACTAAAATAAAGGCCTATTCAGATAAAATATTTCTTGATCAATTTTTTTGTGATCTTATATTGCAATGCCAGTTTTCTTTGAAGGAAAATGCACTTTTAAAATAATGACAACATCTAGATTCCAATAACCTTGGGAAAAGGATCAAAAGATCAATATGGTCTGATGGATTAGGCCAGGCAACAAAATATTTGTGTTTTAATCACTGTGTAGGCATCAGACCTTTCTTTGTATTATTGCCGATAAATGCTGAAAAAGCTTATTCAGTTGAATTTAGATTAATTAATGTATTTCATCCCCGTTTGCCTATTTGATAAATATTATCAAAAACTTTTTCACAATTCTGAACAGTTTCTGCTATTTAATAGAGAGTGTAACCAATGTTAGATCATGATATAAAACAGCTGATATAACAACTATACAGCTGGCATACAACAACTACACAGCTGATATCAAGATCACCTGTTGGTTGCCTTTAACTCATCATCTTGATCTTGGGTTATTGGCACCATAACCTACCATTGATGATGTTTATCATTGACTGTACTTTAACAAATTCAATAAACATTGGTTAGCTCAGTGACATTGACAACTCGGTCAAGGTGAAGCCTGTCCCCATTTTTCTTAATTCTGTTAAAACATGGAGCTCTATCCCCTGAGATAGAGGTCCATGGTTAAAATATGTCATGTCACTGGAGTAGGTATTTTGGATGAATTAAAGATGATCTTATATGATTGAAATAAAAATGAGCATTAACCTTATTTACACTATACTCTCATAAATTGCTACTACTTTTAGGAATATGGGACAGTAGATACACAAAACAAAATGCTCGATCCCTATTCAAAAGTGAAAATTTAAATAAAATTCACAGACCTATACACATTCAATATCTAAAATATATAGGTCTACCAGGTATAACAAATGACTTAAAGTGATCAATAATTCACCTCAGATGTACTTGGGCAATTACAATGAATTCTTAATGAAGCTCAGTCTGCGCCAGTTTGAAATATGAGTTTACAAAGCGATCTTAGCTTTAAGCTTAGGTAAAATAAAACATTAATTATCATAATTCTTAATGCTTGCTATTAAATATATCAAGTTATTCATTTTTTTATATTTTGGGTTAATTTTAATTGTGATTTAATTCTTGAGTAGTAAAACATGTGAATGTGTCCCTCCCCTTATACATGACGACACAGGTTCAAAGAATAAGGATGCAACAAAGTAAGGTTGGGGTTTCTTTCTTGAATTTTACTATTGAATCCTATAATGTATGAAATTATAACAGTATCCGGCATGAAGTTCTACCATATTTAAGGCATAAATCTTATCACAAAAGATGAACAATGAACTGTTTAACCAGCTGAGTAATTTCTCCTTAAGGATACAATGAGATTCTGTTGACAACAAGGAGACTGAACAAAAAAGTTTTGCTTTAAAAAAATTCTCAGTGTAAGCAATTCTCAAAGTCTATTGATTTTACATTATATTGTTTGCTATAGAAAAACAATTCCCATATCTGACCTTCAAATCATGAAAACAATATGATTGTGTGATTGCACTATGCGTTGTGGTCAACCACAAAAGCCACAAGATGTTGATATTAATCAAAACAATTGGAATTAAAAAGCAAAGCATGTCTGATTATGATCAATGGTTCAAGCAAAGTAGAAAAGGATAAAGTAGCCATGGCATCTACCTCAGTGTATCCTGAAGGAGAAACCTTAAAGCCAAGTTACAAGAAAAGGAGTCTATTGTGATGTAAGATGCCCAAATACAATTAAGAACCTCTGATGATGGACTATGAATACCCCCCCACCCATTAGGTGCCTTTAGGGAGACACTTTCATCATTCAATATAACATATAAACACATGTTATAGATTTTCACAAGTCTGGCAAGAAGTCTCGATTTTTTGTGAAGTCTAGCTCAAGGGTATCTTGTCATTGATTGTAATTCCAAAACCAATCTTCTTTGTTAATGGTGAGGCATATTCCGGCTTCTTCATTTCCTCTCTAGTCACTTGACACACTTCTCAGTATATCTTATGTGTCTTTTGTGTCTTTACAGAATGTGTCTTTTCTGTTCTTTTCTCAGATGATAAAAGCAAGAAAGAAAGAAAAACAATTCAAGTTTACATTCCAAGTGATGCAACAGCATAACAAATCAGACAATTCTATTTATCTTTAAGAAGGAAAAGATTGATTCTCCAAGCATGCTGCCATAATTCTTATTTAAGAGCAGATTGTACTTTAACAAGTTCAGCCCCTCCAATAAATTTCATACCTGAACTATTCTGGTTTCTTCCAATTTCATATAAATCTGAGTTAAAAACCAATCTTACATCTTGTTTCAAAATTATTAGTGTCACATATGCTCAGTTTATTTATTATTAATCTAAACTCCTTTTGAGAAAGTAAAGGTAACCTACATGATGATGTCGACATAACATATTAAGATATGGCTGTTATTCATTCATGCACTATAGTATGAGCGGCTTGATATATGACTACAAACGTCATTACCAATGTCAGTGATGGAGGTTTTGCAATATATTAACAAATACACGATACAAACCATATGCTTGATATACGTCAATCCAAAGCTTTGACGACATTGAAAACTAGAGATAATTCTATGCAGTGGTAAAAATAACGTGTATCAATTTACTTAATCAATTTTAGATTCAAATCCTGTCCAACCCACATGTATAAAAATTAATAACAAATATGGGTCACATTGTAACCTTCTTTCCAAGTGATCTTTTGGTGATCTCTAAATTTAGGTAGTGATTCAGACTATTAACAATCAACAGGCCCGTAGCCAGGATTTGCCAAAGGAAGTTCACTTTTTGAAAAATTCCAGGGGGGCTCAATTTTGACAACTTTGGCCCCAAAAATGCCCAAAATCATGTGAAAAGTGCTCAGAATGGTTAGAAACTGCATGATTTTGAAAGAACTTTTGGATTCACTTACATGTATATGACAAAACCTTATCATCCATAAGTGGTTACAAAGACACCGACACAGACTCTGAATGCCATTCATAAAACAACCAATTCTTTGGATAAAAGGGCAGCCTGTGATCAGACCAGTGAAATTACTGAGGATTTTTTCTCAAGGCAAGATTTATTCCATTATCAAATCAGCTTGTCTTATCTGCACGAAGCTTTTGTAATGCCTTCTAAACATACTCATACATCACCTCAACAAAGGGGAAAAGAAAAGGGGAGGGGGAGTTCTAGAGTCTTGATGCGAACTACAAAGACAAACCATTTTTCATTTTGTATAATTTTTGAAAGGATATAGATTGATATACTGCTGGGCCAGGTCCTCTGATGTCATAAACCATTTGTGCATTAGGAACAGGACACGTGGAAAATCTGAGCTGTCAGCCAGTTCGCCCTCATCACCTGAAAGTATATGTACGACGAAATAATTAGGTGCACTATCACTCCTTTAAAGGGTTCCGATAAGCTTCCCGTATAAAATGAAAATCTCCCTTTTATAAATGTGTGACGATCTATACTGTACCAATGTTATATAAAAGTTAGAGGTATTGACACAACGACCTAAAGCCTTTGAACCCTTGAGTATTATTCCGGGATCGAGCCTTTTATACTAAATGGTGAGCAACACCAGAAACAAGCGTTCGATTTGCTAAACGATATGCGTCACCCTTTAAGAGCAATTTTAGTGTAGATTGGTTTAACCAGACTGTTCTATCATCATGTTCCTCGTTAGTCATATAAAATTCCTCTTTTGGAAAAAGATGGGTTTGACCATCCATAACATGAACTAAATAAGATGTCCAAATTCTCAAAAATCTTGATGTATGCATATTTTCCCCCAACAGGATGCAAATCATAATGTTATTTGTTTTGATCAGAATATCTCAGGATTTCATACTTTTGACAGTTTGCAAACAGGTTTTCAGGAGTAGCTTGACATTTTCAGCAGTCACTCTAATACTTTTAAGATCACTGGTATATAATCAGATAAAAGAATTTGTAATCCAAACATTTTAAATTTATCAAAACATAGCAATTCCCATAACAGATGGAAACAAATTTTAAGGCGTTAACATGCAAAATGTCACCACCTACCATTTATTACAGACACTGAATGAAAACACCAACCACCAGACGCTGAACACCAACTGCCAAACACTGTCCACAAAAAAATTGGAGATCATAACAATATGTCACCACAAGTGGGGGTGACATAACTTATCACATACAGGAACGTAATTACCTATATAATATTTCTAAAACAAAAGTGCTTTGAATGATCATTGATCAATCAGAAATCAATGGCTTTTATTATATGGATAATACAATTAGGTTAAAACAGCTGACAATAATCAATCAATATTACCATAGAGCAATTCCAGGAATTAGATTTTTTTAACCGACATATGTATTAATTATTGGATTGTTTGCACAGACTACCCATAAATAGTTCTTGGTATTTTATTAATAGAGTTTATGTTTACATTATATATGGGTTATTAATCTAATTAAACAATTGATCTATATAAACGCATAATTAACATTATTTTATTATTTAAAAACAATACTGTACTACAATAATGTTCAAAACAGTGCTGTTAGAATAGAACTGTACATCGCTGTCAAAATCTAACTGAAGCCTATCAATTATTACAAAATGATATTAAAACTGTAACATACATGTACATGGGGCCCTGGATCCCCTTCAACTGCTTCCAATAACAACAACAAACTAAAACTGTATGTATGTTCTTTTTGTACATTTTTTGGTCAACATCAAATGCAAACATGGGGCCAGAAGTGTCATCCAAAATTCCATAAAAGACCTACTTCTTGGTAGTGACATAAAAAACTCCCTGTTCCAGGAAAAAGACCTGATATATGCTTTTGGTCTGCACCTTTAAGCAATATAGACAAGTTGGATGTTACCTTGACAGCTGATAGTACATAATAGAACAATAGGGAGCAATTTAATTAGCATCTATTTCACATTGCCATTTCTAGGAGAGAATAGACTGATTCCTGGAAAGTATAATTATAGTGTGGGTGGTATGGTCACACATTTTAGAGTTGTGATGTTTACCAAATCCATTAAAATAATAGTTTTTATTTTCTGGTTACAAATTGTGGTGTGTCCCTCTATCTTCATTTGTTAGGATTATACTATTTTGTTCATGGCCAATTCTGCTCTTCAAGTCGCTAAATTATTCAAGAATAAACATGGGAAATAAATACTATTACGCAAAACAACCAGTACATGTAGTACCCTTTGCATTCGTTTGACTTCACTTCTTAAAAGAGAGTTTCGTCTTGTAGTTTAACTAGACTCTGCACGCAGGGTATACATGTAGACGCATCCTCGTCAATTATTAGACATCTTAGTACAGGGTTTATACTATCACAACTAAACAAAAGGCGTTTTTAATATTCACTTAGAATACAATGAAAGACTTAAACCCTTGAATACCCAGAACTACAGAAAAAAACTACAGGAAAACTACACACACTGTTCTACTGTTCCACATGCAAAATGTTCCACAAACAGATGTGTTTAACTTCAAAGTTTTTACAGTTTGCTGCAAATATATGAAACAAAAGATCTAGTACCTGAGCTAGCCTAATACATTATGTAGTTCATCCAGGGTATCATCCCATAATGACAAGATTGGGGTAATATTATCTTTATGAAAAACCATGCAGCTCTCAGGCAGCAGTATAGGATTATAGCCACTTACAATCTAATTTTCTACTTAGGTGATTTGGCTCACAATGAGGATGAAACACGATATTGTATAAATGATGAGTTAAAGACTTGGTTAACCGAAGAGAAATGATCCTGGATTATTTTTCAACATCGGGGACTCATATAAAATCATGATTTTTAAAGACAAGGCATAACATGCAAAATGTCACCACCTGCAATTTGTGGTGGTGGTGACATAAAAATCATCATGATAAAAACTTTTTAGTCTTAGCCTCGAGAGGACTTGGTAAATTATAATCCAACAAAACGTATGTCCACTTTACCCTCCGTCTAAATAAATTGCCAGACATATTTATATTTTGAAAAAATGTATTAAAAGAGATCAGATAAGAAAAGCATAAACAGAGGTCTCGAGTTGTTAACCAAAAATGCCTGTTCTTTTGAGGAATTTTCCAATTGTTTCAATGTTAAAACTATACATTACCTCAGGTCTCAGTCAACAGTACTTTCAAGGTTTACATTATCAGTATACAATTTTGCCAGTTGACCTCAAGAGAGGTTTACAATAGAGGTGTTTCACTTAAACAGTTTTACTGTACAACAATTACAGGGTGATCCAGAAGTAACGTCAAAGATGTTGTAATTTCAAAAGTATTCATCAGATCTTCATGAAATTTGGTATACATGTACCCACAACATTTCTGAGTTACCATCTCAAAGATTGGAATTCAATCATTTCATTGGTTGAAATTATGGTTGCTATAGTAACCCGATATCGCGTAACCCGGGGCAAATTACTTAACGTGTAATGCGTAATCTCAAAATATCAACAAGATCTGAAATTGTTATATCCTCAACATTTTATTTCACAACAATATAAATCATACTATTGCACAGTTACTAATAATAGTTCATTCTACATAATTGCCACCATTTGCAACACATTTCTCATGTCTGGATACCCATTCCTTGAACACAGAATTAAATCCATTAGAACTCATTCCTTGTAGGGCTAGTACTATGGCATTTTTCAATTCCTCACAGGATTGAAAATTATTTCCACTAAGGTTTCTTTTTAGTTCCCCATACAAATAAAAGTCACTGGGGGCAAGATCAGGTGAATAAGGGGCATGTTCAAGTTGTTGAAATCCAAGTGTTTGGACTGTGTTGCTGGTCAGGATTGCAGTGTGCGTAGGGGCATTGTCCCAATGCAAGATAAACTGCTGCAGATGTCCAGGACGCTTTTTCCTCAGGGAACGTTGAAGATCACGCTTCAGAACCTGAAAAACAAATGTTTAATGGTTGTTAAACCAGTTGTTTCATTGATTGGATTTGGATTTGAATCATGGCCATGGAGTTATAATTATATTGACAGTGAACAACATTTAAATACTTTAATTTAAAAATAAAATTCACAGTATGATGTATTATTAGAACAAATGATATCTTACCTTTGCAATGTAAATGGCATTAATTCTCTGGCCAATGGGAACAAAATGGGTTAACACCATTCCTCTAATGTCAAAGAATGTCACAACCATTTGTTTCTTTTGTGGAATTCCTGGTACTATTTTAGGCTTGGTTGGTGTTGGGGAGTTGTCATGTTTCCACGATGAACTTTGTTGCGTGGTCTCTGGGATGTAGAATGATAGCAATGATTCGTCACTCGTAATGATCTTGTTAAGAAAGTCATCTCCATCTCTCCGATATTTTGCAAGAAAGTCCCTTGAAGCCTTAACACGCCGGTCTTTCTGCTCCTGTGTCAAGTCATGCGGCACCCATTTAGCAGACACCTTCTTTAACAGACAGTTCTTTGTCAGTATCCGTTGCACAGTCCCATAGCTCAGATCGTGTTTTTCAGCCAATTCTCTGATAGAAATTTGCCTATTGTCCATAACATCAGCTTCAATTGCTTTGATGGTTTGATCATCGAATGACGACACTGGCCTGCCTCCTCGCTGCTTGTCTACCACTTCATCATATCCACTGGAATACTTGTTAAACCACCTGTAAATGTTTCTCTCAGCAATGGCAGCTTTACCATATGCCTTCTTTATCTGTCTTATAGTCTCTTTTACACCTTTCCCCAACTTTACACAGAACTTAATGTTTGTTCTTTGCTCTATTTTACTCTGACTTGGCGCCATCTTGAATTGGGTGGGTTAGTGTCCTTGGTCATGTTAGTATTTGTCATGGATGATGGAAGCAATTCAAAGAAATTGAAAGCTTTTTATGAATGCCTATTGTGACATCACAACTATTACATATTTGTTACCATGGCAACAAATATAAAAATCATAGAAAACAAACAATGAACATTTTCAAATGTTACTGACTTTTTAAATTAGAGAAATTCACAAAAACGTTATGGTTTCTCTTCAATTTGCCCCGGGTTACGCGATATCGGGTTACTATAGCAACCATAATTTCAACCAATGAAATGATTGAATTCCAATCTTTGAGATGGTAACTCAGAAATGTTGTGGGTACATGTATTCCAAATTTCATGAAGATCTGATGAATACTTTTGAAATTACAATGTCTTTGACGTTACTTCTGGATCACCCTGTATATGCACAAAATACAACTGAAGTCTGGCTGCATGAAATAGCTGCGACTCTGCAAAACAGTAAATATTCCAAGGGCATCTAAACTCTCTCATTTACTTAAAAGATCACTTGACATCAAAGCTTTTTCTAAAAAAAGACATCACTGTCTGATTATGTGAGAGTATTGCATGGTTTGTTTCTATCATTTGTTTTGTAAAAGAAATGTATAAAATGTAACATGGTATTGCCGCATGCCTTGTTTTCTTATAATGCATTACACATTACAGCTTTAATAGCTATTATGTATATATGTGATCCACGAATCTCTCTATTTAATGTTCACTTTATTCTGGAACCAAGTGAAATCTGTTTGAGGGGGTTATCACACTACTATACCCCCAAACTGTATCCTGTATTCATTTAAAGTCCCCATATAAAGTTTAAACCACTTTGGCTTATATTGTAGTCTTACTCAATGTTATCAAAGTGAGATATGTGAAATTTCAAAATTTCAAAAAGTGGTTTTTAACATTAAAATGTTTTGGCTAAACAAGGGATTCATACTGGAAAGGTATAGGAAATGGCATAACCTCCGATACAAGGCCAATTGAATAGATATATTGGAAGGCCCATGTCCCTTGTTATTTGGGGGATAAAAACAGAACAGTCACTAATCATAGGATATCTTCTATATATTTGATATAACCAAAGACCTGGCATCTTTGAACTGCAGATTTGATGTCATACAACCAATAATGATGTCAATTCACCACGTCAGTCTGAAGTCAAGTTACTTCTGTCGTCACAAGTGAACCAGACAGTCAATGATGTCAGTGCAATAGGAACCCTGTGGTTAATCGAGGTCTCTTGCTGGATGGGAATTATGGCGTGTACATTATCCTAATGAACATTTGAAAGTAGATCCAGGGCTTCATGTTCTATTGTCTTATCGCACATAACTGTTTATTTTGTGATTCTATTGCATTAATCAATATCTATTCACTTAATATAGATTAATTCTCCATTCTGCACTAAGTCAATCTTAACTCGTTATCATGAAATATAAATGCCAATGCCACCTCCCCACAAAAAAATCACAGTAACATCTAGGATTTTATTAGCTCTTTTTGATAAGAAGTAACAAATGCAGACATTTTCATTTTATAGTATGTTATGTATAAACATCAAAAGCAGGATGCTAACAGGTGGAATCTGCATATCTCATTCTCTGTGCATCAATATTTTGATGAAATCAGCGAAGATATTCTCGAGATTTTTACATGGGGGGTTTTCAATCAATAGACCCCTGGTTGGGAAAGGATCGTCACACGCTGTAGGTCAACTTCTCTCTTCATTTAGCAAGCCTTGATGTTAAGTGTAACAGACTTAGATTGATCTTCTATTGTATATATTGTGCATCCCTCCCACTCTCATATCATCTTTTCTTTTTTTGGAGAGAGAAGTTGACCTACAGCGTGTGACGATCCTTTCCCAACCAGGGGTCTATTGATTGAAAACCCCCCATGTAAAAATCTTGAGAATATCTTCGCTGATTTCATCTTTTCTTTTTTATCTATCGTGATGAACAATGTCATCTCAGGTTCTTCTTTCCTAATCTTGCAAGTTGCAAATGAATGAGCTTTTTTAAAGCATGTCAAACTTTTTGTAGAGCTTTTACACAATACAATTGCATATTAGCAATCGAGGCAATATTCTATCATTTACTAAAATGATTTTTGATCTGTATAATCTAGCTTAGCGATGCAACATCTCAAACTTTTTCACCAGACCTTCCGAGGCTCTTTAGAATTTCATGAACAAATAAGTACATGTAAATATGGAAAATTAGAAATGCTCAAATTCACTTACCAAAGCAGTCTAAGCTCAGTTGGGCAAGCTGATGGGTGGGGGCTGCTTTGACTGTCACCCCTGGCAATACCGGCTTCTCATCCCCCATGGCCCCTAAGTAAGATAAACGGCAACTGTCATAGCTCTTACGATGGTCAGTGCGAGCTACACGGCTCTGGTGGCCTTCTGTAAATAAACAATAAAACACATATATGTATGTACGTATAAATGTATTGTAGTGTAGTGTAGTGTAGTGTAGTAGCCATTATGTTTTATGTACAATAATTTGTACAACCTGGAATAGATTGGAATTAGATGACGTATTAATGGACTGATAATTTCATTTCTTGAATAACAAATATCTGACATGATAACTTATTATTCTCTTTCCCATTATTATGCCAATTATTATGGAATAAGAAGACTGATAAGAATGTTATCTATTTACAATGGTATATTATTATGGTAATGTAGGATATTCCATGCATATATGATTATCATATTGTGCATGACATATCAAAAACACCACACTCTTTTTACATACAAACTGATCTCAATTCTAATAGCAAATACAAATCACAAGATGAATCTAAAATCTGGTGTTTTCTTGATAACATTTTATATTTTTAATCAATGTTCAATCTATTTCAGCGTATTAAGTGCAGCAGTGACTTTAATAAGGAGGGAAATTTGGAAATTTTCATTTTTCGATTATCAGTCGCTCCTGACATCCCCGGTGTTAATTTTTAAAGTGACACATAATACATGGCATGGTTTAACATATTTCATATGACATACATCTTTAAACGCTTTTGGCCCACCCTGTATAAAATCCAGCATATTGTTTGTTTTTAGGTGGTTATTTAGATTCACCATGCTTCACTGTATGGTCTAGAGGTATTATCTTAGAAATCTTATCCAGAGAAACAGGTTCGGCTCTCCTTAGACTGAATGTAAGTAGATATGCATTTGTAAACACTGTCTATAGCAACACATATTGTACAATATATGGGTATACATGGGCTAGAAAAATACACAAAAATAATGAAAAACTAAAAACAAGGCATTAACATGCAATGCCACTACCTGCCATTAGATATTGATGCCAAATGCCAACTGCCGAACACCAGCAACTGAACACAAACACCCAAACACCAACCACTGCCATAAAAAAAGTTGGGAGACAATATATATATTTCACTACTTGTGGAGCTGACATAAAAACTGTTCTATTGTTGATTTTAAAGTACCATGTGAGTGACACAGAAACATTAAGTATCTCTAAGGTAATATTGAGTCACAATTGCAGACTCCTGGAAGAGGCATTATCAAATAGTGATTTATTATATAATATGCATCATTATTATATACCCAATATGTAACACTAATCCTGATTGGTCAATACCTAGTCACGTGTTCCGAAATAGATTTACTATTTCCCTTCGAAAGTGTATATTCCCTCAAATGTAAGAAGCGGGAATATACATTTGAACTATTGCCCGCTGACGTCACGATTGCGATGTCTATTTCCCCTGGAGACGTTTGCGCATCTTTCTGCGCATTCAAAAAAAGTAAAAATGAAGGAAACGCAGACGGAAAGATTTACACACACAAATGCGGAGGATTTAGACAACTTGTTGTCATCAGTTGATTCTAAAAGTACAAAAAATGTAGTTAAGGGATCAGTGAACCTGTTGGATCAGTATTGCAGAGAGAAAAACGTTGACATCGGCGATATCATACAAGATACTGAGGAATTACCAAATTTCTTGGCCCTCTTCTGGCCATCAATAAGAAAACAGGACAAAACTAAATTCAGCAAGAAAAGTATGCAAACAATCAGATATGGTTTGAGAAAGCACATAAAGCAGGTAGTTGATATTGACATTGTATCGGACCCTACTTTTCACAAATGCTCCAAAGTATTTGAAGCATGCATCAAACAGCTAAAGCAGGAAGGCAAAGCAGACGTGAAGCATAAGGAGCCTATCACCGGAAATGACCTGAGGAAACTGTATGGATCTTTAGACATTTCTACACCTAAGGGTTTGCTTGATAAAGTTTTCTTGGATTTGATGATGCATATGTGTAACAGAGGCAGAGAAAATCTAAGGGACTTTACAACGAATGACTTCAAATTGTGCCAGGACAGTGTTGGCTTAAAATACATCACATTCAATGGTAATCGCCTAACTAAAAACAGCAGGGGAGAAACTGATGAAGAAAAGGGAGCACGAATGTATGAAATCAAGTGTAAGTTGTGTGAAATACTAAAATACAGATATGAATAATTCTTTTGACAGCCATGTAACATCATGAATACTTACATTTGTACATGTATGTTGTAAAATAATCAGACATGCATATACTAAGCCGAGTTTTTTATTTGATCTGTTTTATTTTTTTTCCAGGTCAAGATGGCAGTTCACACCCCCTATGCCCTGTTCAGTCATTCCAGCAATATGAAAGTGTTCGTAATGTTGACTGCGAATACTTCTTTCAGAGGCCTAAAATACTGAGTTCAAATGAAGCTGCAAAAACCAAGCGCTGGTTTTACGAATCACCCATTGGAAAAAACACTATAGGAACCATGATGAAAACAATATCTAAGGACTATGGCCTTTCACAGGAATATACTAATCACTGCCTTCGGGCAACAACAATCACTAATCTTGATGCTATGGGCTTCGAGAGTCGCCACATAATGTGCGTATCAGGCCATCGCTCTGAATCTAGCATAAAGAATTACGCTTCTCATGTAACTGAAGACAAGAAAAGAAAAATGTCTCTGAGTTTGTCAAGCATAGTTACTGGAAACGAGGATAATCATATTGTACCAAAACCATGTGCATCTGCTACTTTGTCTACACATCAAACTTCAGTTCCTTTGGGATTGTCGAGTAAAGTCACAGAGAGCCAGGATAATAACAATATTGTGTCACATCAAAAACCATGTGCATCTGCTACAGTGTCTACTCATCAATATGACGTAGATGTGGATCAAGCTCCAATTTCTATGAATAATGACTGGGAAAACTATCCAATGATACCAGAAAGTTATGATGATTTGGCATTTATGAATAACTATAACAACACTATTGCCAAAGCCAATGGACCAAAGAGTCCCGAGCTATCTGTCCAAACATCATCTCAAGAAACAAACATTGGACAAAGTGTCAAAAAAACAATCATGAACTTTTCAAATTGCACAGTTAATATTGTGCAAAAGTAGTTAAACAATCATGAACTTTTCAAATTGCACACTGCAGTTAATATTGTGCAAAAGTAGTTCTTTGTGCAGTTTGTAACTTTGTACAATTTCTGAAGTTTGATGTTACTTTATTATTTGGAATACACTTTGTGTAGTTTAAATCTATTAAGCTATTTGTTTTAAATGTTCTTGACCAACCAATCCTTGAAGCTACGATCCATCTTCTTAAACTAATTAAACATAACCATATTGGGTATATAATAAAACAAATAGTGACTGCCTAATTTCGAGCAATAGTGTAAATGATTTCCCCTTGGGAATATCCTCTAAAATGTACTATTCCCTCAGCCTGCGGCTTCGGGAATAGTACACTTTAGAGGATATTCCCTCGGGGAAATAATTTACACTATTGCCCTCAATGGCAGTCACTATTTGTATAATATGACATACTCCAGTACAGATTTCCCTGGGAGTTGCAAACCCTGGGAAGAGATTTTACCTAGATTTTAGATATGATTATGATATGACCTAGTTTTCTGCAGAATCTGCACAAAATGGCTTTATATTACATTGCTTTTATTCAACACTGTCTCCTGGATGGCCCAAATTAATAGCTATATACTATACTATATTGTACATGTTGATCTTCCCATTTGCTTATGATTTGAATGCAAAATAACTTACAATTGAGTACTGGATGGGGAATATGCAAACCAAGAGAACAATATTGGTATTCCTCCAATAAAAAATCTCAACAATAATTTGTTGATAAAAATGTTGTATCTGTTGAAAGATGTTTAGAATCAATATTTGATTTAACCAATAAACAAGGGCAATAGGGCATGAAGGGGCCGTGAATTCTATTTATAGCAAAATTTATGTTAACTTTTTATATTCAGACAATACCATTGTGATTTTCATTTTTTATTTTTCCCCATGCAGCCTAAGTAAAGGAAGAAGCATAATTTTTGTAATATATAACAAGTGGAGGTGACAAAATATTTGTTTGTGTGTCTTACTAGTTTCAATAAGCATGGTCACTTTTCATCACAATTGCAACAATTAAATTACCATTGCAATAAATTGACCCTTTTTCTGAGATGTATCCCTGAAATTGGCCCTTTTTGATTTTGATAAAGTACTCTTTCCAAGTAGGCATGAGGCAAACGAAGCAAATGCCTCACCAGAATTTTGAAGAAATATATTTATTCTAACGTTTATTCAACCATAACTGTGGAAATGAAATCAAATGGTAGATATATATAGCTTAAATTTCCCTCATCTGTATTAACATTTGCCTCATATGTATTAACATGTCTCATCTGTATTAATTAACATTTGTCTCATCTGTATTTAAATTTGCTTCACCTATGTTAACATTTGCCTCATCTGTATTAACATTTACCTCATCTGTATTAAAATTTGCCTCGCCTGTCTTAGCATTTGCCTCATCTGTATTAACATTTACCTCATCTGTATTAACATTTGCCTCATCTGTATTAACATTTGCTTCACCTATGTTAACATTTGCCCCATCTGTATTAACATTTGCCTCATCTGTATTAACATTTACCTCATCTGTATTAACATTTGCCTCATCTGTATTAACATTTGCTTCACCTATGTTAACATTTGCCTCATCTGTATTAACATTTACCTCATCTGTATGTACATTTGCCTCGCCTATGTTAACATTTGCCTAGTGTTATTTTTTATCCTGCTACGCCCCTTGTTTTCTATCATTTTAAAAGTAAATTCAATAGACATGTATTCAAATTGCACGTAATTTAGTTTAATTGTTTTAAAAATCTGTAAAGAAATATAAATGTTCAATATTTATGTCATTTTTACTGTTTAAAAAGTAAATACAAATTCACCACCATTTTGCTCATGCTACTGTCTATTATCACATTACTAAAGAAGTATATAACCCAAAAATCATTATTTCTATAAGAATAATGTCACTATCTAGCAT